GAGGGGGAACCATTTTCCACATTATTAACCCGAGCTTTTGCATAGAGGAACGGATGCACTATTACCGTCCGTCCTCTTTTTTTTCCTTCTCCATAGTCACACAACTATCCCATCATTATCATCACTAGGCAGTTATGACTCTATAGTAGCTTGCGGCCTCTTCTTTTCTAAAATCATCGTCGACTCCCTTCCTCCACCGCGCGACGTCACACAGCAGTCGGCTGCACAATGGCTCTTTCTCACGACCCACCGTATCCACGTTAAAAGCTCCGACTCCCCGACTGCTCGCAGATCAATCACGCATACGCACATGATATCTGCCGGGTATATGCTACAGAAAAAAAGATCACGATATACACACACACAACCATGCCGCCAGCGCATGGCGCTCCGTCGTCGCCGAGAGCCCAGCCGGCCAAACGTCAGCGCCATTCTTCTTCATACGACGACGATGCCGCGCCTAGGCTAGACGGGAGCAAGATCGTGACAACGAGTCCCCGTACCGACACGGCCATTGCAGACTCCAGTCCCGGTCCTGCCGTCGCTCAGAGCAGCAACTTTCGGAATGTGAGCGCTTGCAACAGGTGCAGATTACGCAAGAACAGATGCGATCAGAAACTGCCTAGCTGTGCCAGCTGCGCCAAGGCTGGTGTCTCGTGTGTTGGATATGATCCTATAACCAAAAAGGAGATTCCTCGAAGGTGAGTTGCCTCTCTCCCTTCCCTCTCTCTCTCTCTGCGCGCGCGCGCGCGCGCGTGTGTGTGTATGTGTATGTGCGCGCGCCGTGCTGACCTGTTCTCGTGTTGGTAGCTACGTCTTTTACCTAGAGACTAGGGTCGAACAGCTTGAACGACTCCTCAAGTCGCACGATATCGACTTTCCTGCCGCCCAAGACCTGGACCCGTGCTCTCGTCCTAGCTCGCAAGCAGTAGCAGACACAAGCCACAACAACAGCAGCAGCAATCATACTGCAGTCATCAGCCGACCGTCAGACGAGTACTATGCCCGACCGCCACCGAGGAACCCGGCCGTCGAGTCGCTCGGCCATACCCGCGCCGGCAGCGCCAACAAGTCGGATCATCAGAGCCAGAGCCCCGCCATGTCCAACATCATCAGCTCCTCCAACAAGACGGATAAGTCCCTGGCATCCGCGTCGGGGGTATCGTTTGCGCGCGTCGTCTTTGCCGCGGTCCAGTACGCCGTGTCGGATCAGAACAACGGTAACGGTGCCAACCAGCCGCAACACCAACGTCTGCCACCGCCGTCGCAGACGAATCCCAACGTTTCTTCTTCCTCTGCAGCAACAGCAGCGGCAGCCGGCGGAGGAGGCGGCCGCGGCGGCGGCACATCGATGCGCGACTCCTTCTTCGGACTACATACCAAACCTACCATACAGCCTGCCACCTTCCCCACGCGCAACGTGGGCATGCACCTGGTGATGCTGTACTTTGAGCATGCTAACCCGCAGATTCCCATCCTGCACCGCGGCGAGTTCCTCGACATGTTTGAGCGGGCGTACTCGGACCCGGAGAACGGGAGGGGTCACCGCGAGTCGTACATGCTCAACATGGTCTTCGCCATCGGGTGCGGCGTCATTGTCGGGGAGCCGGTCAAGACGGAGACGAGCGACACCAGCACCGCCACCACGGATCACCACCAATCCGCCAACAGCGGCGGCGGCGGCGGCGGCGGACAGTGCAAGCCAGAGGAGTACCATGCCAGCGCCATCGTACACCTTGAGGCGTGTCTGAGTAGCAGCGGGGGCGGGCTGGAGGTTCTGCAGGCCGTGCTGCTGCTCGCCAACTTTGCTCTGCTGCGGCCCGTCCCCCCCGGACTGTGGTACATCATCGGCGTCGCAGTCCGGCTGGCCATCGACCTGGGGCTTCACCACGAGGACGGCGGGTTGGACGTCCCCGACTCGTCGCCGCTCGCCGAACCCACCGACTCCGGAGCAGGAGGCGAGGACAACAGCCTTGGCGGCGGCAGCAGCAGCAGCAGCAGCAGCAAACGCCGTGATCCGGGAGGACGACAGGGGAGCGTGGCGGCGGAGCGGGGCAGACGTCTCTGGACGCGCGACATGCGCCGACGGCTGTGGTGGTGCACGTACTCGTTTGATCGGCTGGTGAGCACGTGCGTGGGACGGCCGTTTGGTGTGGCCGACGACGTCATCACCACTGGCTTCCCGTCCCTCCTGGATGACGACTACATCTCTCCCACGGTGGGGATCGTCGAGCAGCATCCGCACAACCAGGCTGGGAAACCGTCGGCGGGTGGGGAAGACATCGTGGTGGCCCCCAGCTACAAGAAGGTGGCGCACCACTACTTCCGACTGCGCATGCTCCAGTCCGAGATGGTCCAGGTGCTCCAGTACAACCAGTCCCAGGCGGCCCGGGTGGCCAGTCTCCAGCAACAGCATCAGCATCAGCAGCAGGACGACGCGGTCACCGGCGGCAGCTACCCGGAGATGCACATGCACCACCTGCCCTCCCCGTTCCTGGTGCAGTTCGACTCCTTCCGCTCATGGCGCCGCAGCATAGACGAGAGGTTATACAGCTGGAAGATGTCGGCGCCAACACGGCTCGAGACAGGCGTCGCCTTCTCCACCGAGTTCCTCGAGCTCAACTACTGGCAGGCCATCATCCTGCTGTACCGACAGAGCCTGAGCGTGCCCGCCATGTTCGAGGACGAGTACAACACCTCGCACGAGGTAGACGACAGCAGCCCCCGCGGCGGCGGCGGCAGTGGCGGCGGCGCGTCGGCCACCACCCCCACCACCGAGCTCCTCGAGGACGAGGACAGGATCTACCTCAAGGTTGCCGAGGCAGGGCAGAAGATCCTGCGGATATACAGGCAGCTGCACCTCAGCGGCCTGGTCAGCTACACGTACCTGTCTACCCACCATCTCTTCATGGCGGGCATCTCTTATCTATACGCCATCTGGCACTCGCCTCCCGTGCGAGCACGTCTGGTATTTCTCTCTCTCTCTTGACCTCTATCCTCTATCCTCCTCCCGCCTTGTGTGTGCGTGTGCGTGCGTGCGTGCGTGCGTGCGTGCGTGCGTGTGTGTGTATAAGCCTGCTGACTACTTCTAAAAAAGACAATGGACGAGGTAGACTTTACCGTCCTGGCGGCAAAGTCCGTCTTCACTGACATGATTGACAAGTGTCCACCGGCCGAAACATGTCGCGACGCCTTTGACCGCACGGCGAGGACAACCATAAAGATGGCCATGTCCAACGGAGGGTTCGGCGCACAGGCACAAGCGCAGGCGCAGTCGCAGCCAAAGTACCGGCAGACAGCCCCCCCTCCCTCCTCTTCGGCCTGGATGTCGGGAGTCGACCCGTCACCCGCCAACACGACGTCATCTTCTCGAGCACGACGGAGAAACAACATCCTACAGCATCAACATCAGCATCAGCATCAGCAAGACGTCTCCCCGCAGCAGCAGCGACCGTTCCGCTTCGACCTATCCATATCGGATACCCTCTCATCACCACCCTTGTCGGCAGCAGGGGAAGTCGGCTCACGAGCATCCCCCAACATGAGCGGAAGCAGGTCAGCCACCTACGAAGCAGATTACATGATGCACACGACGCAGGATGGACGTAGTCCGAGTGATCACGGTCTCACGTCTACTGCGCAGAATAGCAATGTGTACAGTACTAGCACCAACAGCATGAGCCACGGTCACAATCATCACAACCCCTCGCGGCAGCAATACAACAGCGGCGGTGGTGGTAGTACTGTTCAGGGAACAGAGTACCCGGAGTTGGACTTCTTTGAGAGCCTGGACGCCACCTCGAACTATGAGTTTACCGGCATGGACCAGGCACAGGTCAACCTGGGATTCGGCATGAATTGGGAGGGACTGGGGAATGAGTACGGGGACAGCCATCCTGCCAATCCGTTTGATAGCTTCTTCTTTGGACCGCAGGGGAATAATGGGCACGACAATGAGGGGATGGGGCTGTGATTCGCGCTCTCTCTCACTCTCTCACTTTTTTTTTTTTTTTTTTTTTTTTTTTTTTTTATAATTCTTCATTTTATGATGATTGAAACGTTTGAATCAGTTTTCCTCGATATCCGTTGTTTCGTTACACTCTCCTTTTCTTTTTCTTTTCTGGTCTTCATCTTCTCTTTTAGGATTCTTCCCGCTATAAGTCTTATTATCCAGAGGAGAAAGATGACGGAACGAGGAGTTGGGAGATGTGGTCCTTCTTATCTGTCCCCCCCCCTTTCTTTCTCTGCGGCCTTTTGTTTTCTTATATCCTTGGCAGATATCATTTCTTGACAGACATAGGAAACGTATATATTCTCGGTACTCTGTATAACCTTCATCCCACCTATATAACTCTGCACCAAGTGTCTGAAGATGAGAAGATGAGAAGATGACTTGGAATGGAAACTGAGAAGGAACAGACAGACGGGTGAAGATTGAAGAAGAAGACGTGATGATCATGAGAAACTGACATGAAGGAGAAGAAGAAGAAGAAAAATCACCTCCTAGGCCTCCTAGGACCATGATCCTCAATGACGACAACCTCATCGTCATCATCGTCGACCGAATCACCACCGGGTCTCCTAACATAGATGGGGTCCGGCGCACCCCCTCCGCGCGGCCTACCACCATCGGCCGATCGTCTATCCTGCGTGCGGACATTGACCGTCTCCCTGACGATCCTCGGACCGGCACCGCTTCCGCTGCGTCGGTGATGATGTGAGGCACCGGACGACCGACGCCCGTGCTTGGTCCGCTTATACTTGTACTTGTACTTGTCGCTGGTATGGTGGTGACTCTGGTTGTGGTGGTGGTGGTGACTGCCGTGGCTGCCATGACGACGACGGACGAAGGCCCCCGAGGGTTCGGAGGACATGACGCGCGGGCCGAAGCCGAGGCAGGAGTATAGTATCACTAGGATGAGGATGACGCCGGCCACCGATCCGAGGACCACGCCGGCCACGGCGCCGGGGGTGAGGGATGAGCCTTGGTGAGCGTAGGATTGAGGGACGAGTGTGTCGGCTCGAAGTTTGAGTGATGTCGGTGCCATCTTCTTTTTCTTCTTCTTGTTCCCGTACCGCTTTCTTCCTCTCCTCTCTCTTCCCTTTCCTTTCTCAATGCTTCGGATGAGAAGGCGTCGTCCCCGTCTATCCTGAGATTTGGGGTTGTCCTTGTCCTTGTCGTCGTCGTCGCCGTCGTCGCTGTTGTTGTTGTTGTTGTTGTTGTTATTGCAAAATGATTGTCGCGTGCGATGTGCTTATCATATCGCGAGATGTGTTTACTGTCGAAAGATGGGCTTATATCGCAAAGTGAGATGATGACACAACAAGACAATGACAAACGTTTTTCTCATTCACAAAGCATAGGATATAGATATATGGATAGAGAGAGAGAGAGATGAAGAGAATCAATCAAGAGTGAGTTGGAGAAGGGGGGAGGGGAGGGGAAAAATCTAAGGTCAAGATCAAAATGTCGGCATCATCGTCATCGCAACTCGGTGTGGGGGGGGGGGGCACTGGGGAGGTTGGTTAATAAATGCGGGACAATCGGAAAAGCGGGAGACACCAGTAGCACAGGTACGAGTACGAGTATTAATACAGATTAATACAGGTATCAATATAATCTGTACACCTGTCACTCACTTCCAGTGCAGATAACTCGAACATGCGGCATCCCTGTCATTGCCCTTCTTACCCGGCCCCTGCCTTTCCAATCCCCCCCCCCCCCCCTTCCCCCCCCCCCCCCCCCCCCCCCCCCCCCCCCCCCCCCCTCCTACTCTCCCCAGCCACCTCTATGACGGGCAAAGCGGACAAGAAAACAAACAGCATGATACGCATCCTGCAGAGTACAGAGGAGAGCACCCGCACTACCAGTTCAATACTACAGCATCAAATACTCTTGACTTACCTGCTCCCGTACTCTTGAATTCAAAGGCTGTGACAATGGCGGAGAGTAAACCTCTCCATGTGACATTATCTACTCCATATTACTACGTATACGCACTCCGTACTCCGTACTCCGTACATTGCACGCATAATACAGCTACAGGTGTGCGTACACTCATTTACGACACCTCATATCAATTCTCTGAGGCATGCAGAGTACTCGTTACTCGATAAAGCTGCCAGCAATACTTCGTCAATGGCAGGGCGTAGAAGGGAAGAGAAGAAAAAAAAACCTCCGTCTCCACGTTCTTGAAGCTCTTGTTACAATCTTCTTACCGTCGTCACCGTGTATGGGTGGGTCTTTTCACATGTACGAGATATATGCATGTATCTTGTTTGGAGTAGTCTAGGAGAATGGACCAAAGTTCCGCACAAGATGTACAGTAGTATAAGGAGGAGATCCTACTAGTATCAATCAGTCGTTACTAGTAATAGTGATGTGTATCCCCTCCATGTACGAGCAGCTCATACGTATACGTAGACGGAGTTCTACATGTGCGATACAAGGTTAATAATACCAGTCATTGCATGCAATTCCTACATGCGAGAAGCATCAAAGGCCAAATGATATATCCCATGTTATCGATAACCTCTGTCTAAGAAAGAGAAGCCCTAAAGAATACACACAAAACTTTTTTGCTTTTGATCTTGGTCATGAAAAAGAGAAAGGCAGGAAAGAAGAAAGAGAACATCCATAAAGCAAAAAAAAAAAAAAAAAAAACTACTCTCCTGGATATATATATCGCACCATGAAACAAAGAAAACGCAGTAGACTGCAAGGTAGGTTTTTGCAGAGTAGAAGATACCTCTTGCGGGGTATAAGAAGAAGAGAGGGAAAAAAGAGAAAGAAGAAATTGGCAGTGTAGGCCACTCTTGTGAGTGTGCCGTTGAAGATTGGGGGGGGGGGTTCTTTTCCTTACACACATAAAAAAAGAGAAGAAGAGAAGAAGAAAAGTCGTTGGGTAGAATTGAGTCGTATCATGTCTACAAGAGCACATGTAATCGTACAATGATGAAGAGAAAGAGGGAGGAAATGTTGGTAAGAGGAAGAAAGAGAAGAAAGGAAAATGAAAAGGTAGTGAATGGATGCTCGAGTACGCGAATGACCTCAAAACATGTTGTTAGACGTCATCCTGGTCGGGATGCGAGGCAGAGCAGACGTGGACGGTGGCAACGGAGGCAGGGCCCGCGTCGGAGGCGGGAATAGGGGAAGCGAAGACGTAGACACCGACGTGGGCACGGGAGGCAGTGCAGACGTCGGCGGCGGCCCGGGCGGCGGGACGGGAGGCAGGGCATAGGTCGGTGCCGGCCCGGGCGGCGGCCCCTCGGTCAGCAGATGGGGCATGCTCTTCCGGAGCATGGAGCTGGTGCTGCTCCCCGGCCGGAACCTGGAGCTCCTCGAGCTGGACGACGACGCCGACGACGCCGACGACGCCGACGACGACGGCACCAGCGGCAGGGACGGCATGGGCCTGGGCGGGGGCAGCCTGTGGGTGGCCACCACGGGGGCCGGAGCCGAAGCAGACGCCTTGCTACCGCGGCGGCCGCGGGGGGGGTTCTGAGACGGCGACGACGACGTCGGCGCCTGGTGATCAGGCACGAACGGCATCATGCTGACCCTCCTCCGCACCCCCCGCGATGAGGACGACGACGGGGACGAGGACGGGTGCGCGGGGGACTGGTCCATGCGCGCGTACATGTCCATGGCGGAGTGACACCTCTCTGCATCGTGGACACGCGGCCCCTGCCGCGGCAGCTTGAACGACTCCGGGCTGGGCACCGTCATCCAGGAGCCGTCGCTCTGCATCCGGAGCGTGCCCATGCTCGACAGCCTGCGCGGGCTGGTCGTGCTGTTCCTCCTCGCGCTCGACGGTGTGACCGACGGCGTGCCCACGGGCGGCATTGCCGCTGCTGTCGCTGCTGTCGCTGCCGCTGCTGCCGAGGGGCGAGTGACCGAGGCCGAGGGCGGGCTCTCCGTCACCGTCACGGTAATCCTGTCCTCCGTCAACCTCTCGTCTCCGCCCACCGACAGACGAGGGCTCACGCACGACTCCGGACGGGAGGGGGGCAGGGGCACCGACTCGGGCGACGTGGGGCTGGGCATCTCGCTGTGGCGCGTGGCCGGGCGCTCAGGCACGTCCTCCTTGGGGGAGGGCTGGTCCTCCACCATGGAGAGCGGCCGCGCAATGTGCAGGGCCCTGGGCGGTCGGCGGGCCGCCAGCGTCTCGATGTCGGGTGGGGGGGCCAGGATGGAGGCGTACGACGTGTCGCCTGGACCGGGCAGACGGGTCGGAAAGCGGCGGCTGAACGAGGACAGAGCCTCGGACATGCTCAGGTCCACCGGACCGGCTCCCACGGGCGAGAGCGACGGCGGGCGCCGGGCGCCGGGCGCCGGCTGCAGCTCGACGAAGGGGCCCAGCATCTGCTGCGACTTGCGTCGGTCGGCGATGGCAGCCGCATTGGGTCGCAGCCGCAGCTCGGGTTCCGGACGGAGCTGCGGCGCCGTCTCCACCTCGGGCGAGGACAGGAAGCAGTCGCGCGTCGGGGAGCCGGCGGGTGACGAGCCGGCCGAGGTGATGAAGGTGCGCTGTCCGGACGAGACGCACGAGAAGCGGTTGGCGCTGCTGCGCAGGCTCTCGAGGCGCTGCCCGTCGTGGGAGAGGATGCTGTTGGTGGCCGAGGCGTCGTCCATGGATTCATCACGCAGCATCTCTGACATGGGAACCGACGCGTCGCTGCCACGGCGGATGAGCTCGCGCTCCCAGGCCGGCTGTGCGGGCTCGTGGTCGGCTAGGTAGCTGCTCGTGCCGTCGAGGACGAGCGTCCTCTGGCTGGGTTGTGCGCGCAGCGGTAGATCGTTGCTGTCACCGTTGCTGTTGCTGTTGCTATTGCCGCCGTCGTCGTCGTCTTCGACTTCGGTCCGAGGGTTCCCCGTCTCGGACACGACCCTCTTGCCGCCCAGCGCCTCGATGACGCGACGCAGGGTGGCCAGCCACTCGTCCATGTCGTCGGCGCTTTCCAGGACGAGCAGAATGTTGGAGGCTAGGTTGAACGAGGGCGGCTTCTGCTTGTCGCCGCCGTTGGCGGCGGCGGCGCTCCGCCTATCCTTCTCGGCCATCGATAGGAAGGGAATCCTGGAGAGGAACGACTTGCTGTCGCCTGCATTGGTGGATCCGTCGGGGGACACGGCCGAGGCGACCTGGAGGACCCAATGGCGGCCCGGGATCATGTCGGTCGCGAACACGGCCGAGTCCTTGGTGAGGCGGAGGGCCTTGTCGGGCGGACGGTCAAAGAAGCCCTCGGCAGGGTACTCGAGCAGGTAGCCGGCGTTGACGAGAACATAGGTCTTGTTGGTCCACTCGATGGACAGGCTGGGCCCCGACCTGGCACGGTTCCTCCTCTTGGGCCAGGCCTTGTCGTCGCCCGGCGGCAGGGCGCTCGCGTCGGCGGCGGCGGGTGAGCTTGCGGTCTTGTCGTGGCATCGCACAATGTAGTCTGCGTCGAGCGTTGTGGCCGGCAATGTCGAGTGCCGTACGGCCTGCGGGTAGGCCTTGTGCAGAGGTGCGGCAGCCCATGAGATCGGGTGGCCCTTTGGTGCCGTGTCGGCGGCGCCGCCCGTCTTGCGCTTGGGCAGCTTGGCGACCGACAGAGACACGGGAGGTTCAGCATCGATCTTGGCGTCCTCCAAGGTTGTGGAGAGCGGGTGGGTGTCGTTCCTGGGAGTGGGCTTGCCGGGGGGCAAGGTGTAGTAGGGGATACCTTGAGTCATGCTGTCGCGATTAGAACTGGGCGCGGCAGCCTGGTTGGAGGTTGAGAGGGAGTCGGAGGATCGCACGCTCCTTGTGCGGCTGAAGAGGCTCCGCAGGCCGAGCCTCGACTCCCTGCGAGCCTGCTTCTCGAACTGGGGCAGAGATTCGCGAGAGTCCTGGAGGACGTGTGGGAGCTCGTGCGGCCGGGAAATAGGTCGCCAATTGACGGACTGGCTCGAAGCCGCCGCCGAGTCGGTTGCGTTGTAAGGCATGACGGTAGGCGGGAATATGTTGTCTGCTGTGATCAACGTTTGGTTGTTTAGAGAGATGGTGGCCAGTCGGGCCAAGCCGACTATGAAACTGGGGAAGGAATGCAGCCCAAGTTTGAGGAATGCAGCCCTGATCGGAGAGTTGGAGTTCAAGGGTCGGTCCCAAGAGGAGACGTCGAGATATCGGAGCAGAACGAAGAATGGCGTGAGAAAGAAACGAGTGACTAGGTGAAATCAAATGGGGTCGAGGGAGAGATGTATGGCAGGAAATTTGGAAAGGAGATGCGGGAAGCCTCGGCTCTCCTTGCACCGCAGCTACAGAGGGCCGGCGTACGAAGACGAGACGGCAGACGGCATGCGTGTAATCGGGAGACGGCAGGGACAGGCGAGTACGAGTCTGGTCGGGGTGGATGGGTGTGAGAGTAGCGATCAAGGCTCGAACGTTGGTAAGACTGTGTGTATGGGCATGACACGGGACCAGAAAGGAAGGGCTACGACGCAAGGAACGTCGTCTCGCTTTCTTCTTCCCCTTCTTCTTTTCTTTGGTGTGGATGGTTTAGCAGGATGGTAGCAAGTTGAGAAGTGGGAAGGAGTTTGGGTCCAGGTCCAGTCGAGTAAGAGACCCAAGCTCTACACGCGGTTGGCGACAAGTTCCCCGAAATGGAAAAGAACGGCACACACCAAGGTCTGGCCTCGTTACCAAGGTGTGCCGCTAAAATAGAAAGAAGGCTCCTCTCCACTCACACACTTGGGACCTGTTGCTGTTGTTGCTGTTGCTGTTGTTGCTGTTGCTGTTGTTGTTTGTCGTTAGCGTTAGGGATACTACCGGTAGCACTTCTCTCTCTCTCTCTCTCGGTACAACTGAATCGATCATGACGCACGAAGAAGTGGGCAGCGGAGGAACCTGCTTACCCTGGCTACTGTCTCCGTGAAGGGAAACGGAAAAAAAAAGAAGGACAAATAGTTGGAGAGTTGAAAGATTCAAGAACAGTGACGATGCCGAAACGCACGGGGATGATGCATACGAGTAGAGAAGGATAAGAAGGACGAATTGCAAGGCAATGTAATAAACCACGGCTTAGGGTCGGGGAAGGGGTCAAAAGTGACCCGACATGACAATACCGGGCAACTGGAAAAGAGAAGATCGAAGAGGGGGGGGGGGGTGTGTGGTTGTTCCCTCAACTTGGGCTCAGATGGATGGCGGCAGGGGGACGTGCAGCAAAAGGGACCACGGACGTACGAGTACTCATACGGGTAGAGAGTATCCGCAATACTAGCAGCAATACCTCCTGCACATGTATCGCGACGTAGGAGGCGCGGCTGGTAACAAGTATAGAGTACATGCATCACATCCTGTCGGCGCGCATACGTGTGAAGGATCAGGAGTATCCGATACATGTGCAGGAGCCTCGACCGGGGTCGGCTGCCGCATTGATACATGTATGCTCACAACTAATTACATGTACTTGCTACTCGGACGATACTAGGAGCAGTACGGAGTATTAGCAGACAAGATCCATACGAGTAATTATACTTTCTTTTTTCGGTGTATCGGTAGTACACAGTAACTAAGACGTATAATATCCTCTGTGCATACGGATTACATGTATACGGGGAGCACGGGCACGATAGTATTACTAGGTCATTACATATACATCGAGACGATAAACTGGTCAATAACGTGAGCAACTGGCTCGTATCCCGTGCATAAGATCAAGGGAGCAGCGGGACGACAGGTCTGGTTGACAGCTGATGGAGCAGCCGGAAAAGGAAAGAAAAGGGCGAGTTGCAAGCTTGCAAGTCAAGGGCAACCTGGCAAGATGGAACATGAGAGGGGGGGGAGGGGGTGGTCAGGTCCTCAAACAAGGTCTCGGGTGGAATAAGCAACTTCATGTCAGGATGAAGCATCAAAACTTGGAACTTGTGCTCACGCTCACAATCGCCAGAGGGGAGGAAGTATATATTCATAAGAGAAGAGCAAAGAAGAAGGCCGCTTACATCCACCCGTCAGGTCTTAGGTGGCCGCTTGTCGCCGTCACAGGGGGCCGGACCAGCAGCGTGGAAACGTTCCCTGGGCCTGGACTTGGGACCCACGAGAGCGGGAAACGCTAGCAAGGGGAAGAAGAGCTCCGGAGAAGGGAATGATTGATGTTGTGCCCCCCCCCCCCCCCCCCCCCCCCCCCCCCCCCTCTCTCTCTCTCTCTCTTAGCTGGGGAACTCCGAACAGCTGACGGGGTCTATACAAAGTACGAGGATGGATGTGTTACAGAGACGACTCGCAACGACGGTATGCCTACGATACGCAATACGCAGAGACAGAAAATGTAAACGTAGATGTAAAGAGTAGAAGAGTTGTGCTGTTACTTGTATGATACTCGTGTACTGACGCCGCGTCCTTGTAGACTGATGCTCATGACCAGTCAAATTATACGGAAGCAAGTTATTCACACAGCCACAGCGACTCGTACGTACGGTGACATCCAATTGCCCGACGGTGCTGAACCCCATCTGCAGACTAATATTACCTACATCACTCCGTACTCCTACATACATATGTAGTAAGTAATACCACACATATCCTCTCCCCCTACCCGCTCCAGAACCTGGAGAGCCGTTGTCTCTGTCGCAACGCTCTGCCATCTGATGCGGAGTGCATAGCGCCCGTACGCAGACGAGCGTGAGGAACAACAGCCATTGTAAACGTACACACACTCTCACTGTCTCTCGTCCTTGTCGCTGCCCAGTTCCCAGCGGCATCTCACATACGAGTACAGTCCGAGATTACCAGTCACGGATACCACTACTGATACGTACATGCTCTCTCTCTCTCTCTCTCTCTCTCTCTCTCTCTCTCTTGAATGGGTAGCACAATAGACAGCACATGGCTGAGGGCCATGCGACAGTTATCACGTCACAAGTACAGCGTAGAAGAGTAAGAGGGTATCGGAAGGAGACAAGGGAGACCTCGTGGTCGTCTCATGCGGATAGGCAACCAGCAGCAAATGCCGACGGCCATTGCTAATAGCCGCCCCGGCAATGACGAAATGCTCTCTCTTTCGTCCCTTGTAACTTCAATTAATGACAAGTAGACTGGTGGCTAGAGACGGGCCAATAAAGCCGGAAACGGCGGTGTTTTCCTCTCTTGCCGGAAGGCCTTTCTCTCGTAGCCTAGGCCGGGTAGGCAACAGACTTGTCCTCACTGTCGAGAGTAGTCACGCGTTAAATGATCTGACGTTATCCGTCCTCTTAACATATATATATATATATATATATATATATATATGCGTGTACTCCTGCTCTGCTTGGTAGCAAGCCGTAGGTACGAGAAGTAGTCAGGTAATACCTGCAATATCACTTGATAGTAATAGTACCCGAGCCTTCAGCGACAGACGCTCAATCTCAGTCTCAATCTCGCTCTCTTCTCTGTTCTGTTCTGTTCCGTTCTGTTCCATTCTGTTCTGCTCTGCTCTCCGAGACAGCTGTGCCGGGTTCAAAGTCGCAAGGCAGATCTCGTTCCGACTCCCCCGACCCATGGAAGTCACGGGAGCTATCCGTACCTGTACATGTATCGCCTACTCGTACAGGTGCAGCAGACGAAGAGAGAGAGAGAGGATGAGAGAGAGAGAGGACCCAATAAGGCCCTAGATAGATAAGGCGTAATGCATGCTGCTGGCACTGAGGGGAGTAGAGAGGGGAGCAGGGAGAGGAGAAAGTTCGAGCGACGTAACTGGATACCCGTCTTGAATACGTCTATCTCTCTCCTCTCTCCCTCTCTCACGCGCTCTCCCTCTCTCACGCTCTCTCTTTCTCCGCGCACAAATACACTACGGATGCACGAATGTACGCGTCAAGATCCGCTTGTCAGCCCCTTGCATGGGCCGTGGGTGTCATAGGCTGCACAGTAGAGGGTTTGTACATGTAAAGAGAGACTCCATACGCATCTGTAACACTATGTTCCGAGAGAGAGGGAGAGAGAGAAAAGACCGAGAAGACGTTGAAAAGAAAAAACATCGGAGGATTTAAAGAGAAAAAAAATCATAGATATCAAAGGCCACGCGAGACGGGGACGGGTAGAGAGAGTCGGTTTCTCACCTTTTCTTCTTTTCTTTTCCTTCCAACGTGATCGGGATAACCACGCACGAGGCGATGAAAAACTCTTCTCTCACATGTTCCCTCTCTCCGATACAAACAATGCGAACAGTAATAACTCAATGCTCTCGTGCCCGTCCCCGCAAGTGATGGTTGGTGACTATTAAAAACCTTCCGAACCGTGCAGGGGGGGGGGAGGGACGGTGTTTGAGAACATGGGAGTAAATTGGGCGGCAGGCATCCCAGCTTTCTCCCTCTCTCCCTCCCTCTCCCCCCCCCCCTCTCTCTCTCTATCCTTCTTTGACGCTTCCACCCCTGTAAAAGGTTTTCCTTTCTCCCCTCCTCTCTTCCTTGCACATCAACGCGGGTGTGAGCCGTCACAAAACTACCGGTGACAGGTTTCGGCTGATCCGGAGTACAAGTAAAAGGGGGTGGTGGTACTTGTGGAAATCCGCAGAACCCCCGTTTAGTTCTCCCCCCTTTGGTCCCTGTCTCCATAAACAATTTCATCTCTTTCTGCATCGCGGGTTTTTTTTACTCGTAATTTTTATTTTTATTTTTACACGTGTACAAGAGTAAAAACTACGTACGGGATGACAGGGTGGGAAGAAAAGAAAAGAAAAAAAAAGAAAAGAAAAGAGGCCGCGACTGTCAATCGTTTCATAGTTTCGTTTCAGCAGTAAGAAACAATCACGAAAGCGTACGCCATCCATTGATACAAAGACACACATAGAGAGGGAGGCGCAGACGACCATCTGATCAATACGTGTTGGTGCTGGAGAGCTCATTGCTGCATTCCTTCATCTCGCTCGTATCTACGGAGTTTGGATGAGTAGTATGTGTGTATAGCCAACAATGTAGATCGATTGTGATGACGCGCGATCCGCGTGTGATCGAGCTGCTGCAGGAACAAGGGGGAGACGATGAAGAGAGAGGGAGAGAGACAGAGAGAGAGAGAGACAGAGAAGACAAAGAGGAGTCCACCGTGCTTGCAGTGTGCAGGACGCGGTCATTGTTACGTCGTAATACTGTGTGTGTCGTGTGCCGTACGAGGAGTGCGGTCCCGACTGGATGGCTTTGCCCACACACACACGTGGGCGCGCTCATCATCAAACCAAGATCCTCCTCCTGACAGGCTGACCCCGGTCAGAAAAAGGCTGCGGTGGGATTGTCATGATAGGGTTGGTACGTGGCCGCGGATGGCTTCCGGCTTCTCAGGTGTAATTGCATTTCAAATACGAGCACCATTACGCAGTGCACTTGTCGTACTCAGTCCTTTTTTTCTTTGGTCAGCAGCCGGGCAGGAGTATCTAATAAGATAAAAGAATGGGTACAGATTACTCTTCGTACAGCTGTCGATGGGGGAGATTAAACATGTCCACTACCGTGACAAGGGGTAACGCGGTAGTGGCGTCGCGGCTTATTGTCTTTTGTCGGTAGCGTGGCCACTACAATCATCTCTGGCCTCTAGGCAAGGAGGAAGTAATAACAGCGTCGTACTATTCTCTCTACTTGGAGGCGCCCGTCGTTTTCGGTCATGACTGATGAAAATCTGTTTTTTTTTTCTTTTTTCTTTTCTTTTTTTCAGCGTGAGTGAGTAATCGGTATGGCCGCCGTCGTCACGTCAATGCAGAGCTGCATGTTGATTGTTTTGATCACCGCTGAATAATATTATTCCATGGACCCATACCAACAACAGCTGCATTATCACGGCGGGGAGCGAGTAGTATTACCTGTTCATCACCCGGTCAGCCTATCCCTTGAGAGAGAGAGAAGGGGAAGAAAGGGAGAGGACTGCGGCGCAACACAGGAACAGCCCAAACGGGTGTGTGACTGTCGCTTCTGCCACAGACCCGTTTGTGGGTCGAGATTCAGGGAAGGATGGGGCGGAGACGGGACAAGTGGTTCTCCCTGTGCTTATCCCTCTCTTGTCTCGTCTCGGTATTAACGTCCATGCTCCCTCGGTAATGATGTCGAATGTGTTTCTTGTCTCGTCGGAAATATCAACGATTTTTTTTTTTCGTCACCCAGTCATGGTCGGTCTGCGGTAATTAGTCAGTAGTATGATGGTGATGGTGATGGTGGTGACGATTGTGATGGAGGAGAAATCCAACCCGTCATCTTCTCCCTCTCACGTGCAGCTTCTCTATTCTGTAGTATTACAGGCAGCAGCGGGGCTCCAGGTCTCCCAGCCACCGTTTACAGCGGCTCCCGGCGGTATTCGGTGGCCCTCAATGGCGGTTGTGGCGTGTCTGGGCCTCTGCGGCCGTCCAGGTACAGCGTGACCTCGCCTCGCCTCACACTCAGCCTGCCCTAGAAGGCTGGATGGATCTTTGCCTCACTGACCTGACCTGGCCTGACCTGTGGCCCTTCATATCTGGCCACTCTGCCGAGGAGAGTGAAGATGGCTGTCTGTCTATCCGCCATCTTTGCTTTGATGAAAACCGCTTTGATCATCTGCATCTCTCCCATATCCTGAATCTCCTCCATCTGGCCCGTTATCCCAGGCCCCTACTGCTCCATTTACCGGTAGTAGCTCTGATATTGCTCTCTGATACGCTGATATCATGTCTACTCACGACGACGCGCCCCGCAGTGAGTCGCCGACAGGCTCGCCCCGGTCGGCATCAATGTCTATGCAGGCTGCAGCGTCCATGATGGCCGGGCTTCAACGAGAATCATCTAGAGGTTTGTCCCTGTTCCTCTTTACATCTCCCGGATCCGCATCATCCTTTGAGGAGTCAATCCATGCCTTCTCTCAACTCGAGTATGACATCCTTTCTGACAGAAACATAGGCAGTCAACCCCGCTCTTCACCGCAGTCTGGTCGCCGTCGTTCCATCCTCTTGAACCTCCAGATGAATGACCCCTCTATCCCTAGTCCCGGCGAGATGGTTGCCAGCGAGCACTCCGCCCAGCCCTCGGTCTCTCCCAGTCCTCGGTTTCTGTCGGGATCACCTCCCATGACGGCTGATCCTCACCATCACCGCGCCCCTAGTCTGGGTGAGCTTCATCAGGAGCTCGAAGCAGAGCAGGAAGCTCACGTTGTACGATGAACGACCACCGCATCCTCATCTCTCATATATATGCTGACCTTTTCTTCTTCTCTCTCTTGCAGAATCGTCTCCTCCAAATGATTCGCCAGCAACAGCTTGACCTGCAGAGACTTCAGGCCAGCAACCCCCAGAACCAGAACCAGGGCCAGCCAGCAGATGGTGGTGCTGCCGTCACAGGCAGCAGCAGTGCCATCTCCATCCCTCATGGGTCCCGCACTCCTTCCGTCACCGGTGCCACCCCCGTGGGCTCTTACTCTCGCTCTCCGAGCTTCCCCCGTCACAACCGGCGCTCGACTGATCTGTCGCGTACCAACCTGTCTGGCTCCGCGGCCTCAGCAGCAGCAGCCGCAGCAGCAGCAGCAGCAGCCCGATCTAGGACCCCGAGCCGTGGCCCTTCGCCCAGGGTGCGGTCCACATCGGTCAGCGCTGAGAGTGGTGACTGGATTATCGGTAACGCTGCTAGCGGTGGTGGTGGTGGTGGCCGCGACGAGAGCGCTCTCTACCAAGCTGAGACGCAGATGCTTACCAGGGAGAATCAGATGCTCCGGCATCGCATTCGCGAGCTAGGTATGGGATTTCCGCCTCGTCTGTCTGTGAGCTTTTAGAGAGACAAAGGGCTGACAAGATGCGATGGTGCAGAGAAGCAACTGTCCGACATGTCGGCTAGCCCGTCGTCTACGTCGACACCCCAGGTCCATTCACATCTCACCCAGTCATCCAGCATTGGCGAGGAAGGCGACAAAGGCACGCGGTAGGAGGGAAGTTGAGGCCGACTTGTCCTCAGTGAAGATACGACGCATCGAAGATGAGGTTTTACAATGGGCTCTATTAGATATGGTGTTAGGCGCTTCAGGCTCTTGGACGTGCATAATATATTTTCAAGGAATGGGAAGATGAACACAAAGAGCCTACCCTATACCTACCTGGCGAATCTTGCGAGGTCGGTCAATCGTCACTCGTAGAATACCACACATGTACATGTAGTAGGGGTGCAAGTGTGTTCTAGGAAGCCTTTGTCAATTCAACTATCTAGCTGAGGCTCCTAAAGGTCTCTTATCTATTTGCTCTTACAGCCGTATAAACGATTCCTTCCTTGCAATGTAGGTTTGATATTGTCACCCCGAAAAAGGTATGTTCGTCTCTTTTTAGTATGTCTTGTGTGGTATGCCGATAGTTGTTAGTTGGTGTTTTCTTTCGTTGTCGTATGTTGTTGTGCTAGGCTCGACGGTTTTATGGTCGAATCCCCGCGTATCTAAGCTATAAAATGATTCACTAACGACTCACACGTCACAAGATTGCAACAACCCGATGTGCAATGGTCGTAGATGGGCTCGCCTTGCGGGGAGACATGATGCTTACGAGTTACGGGTACGCCCAATGCAAGTTCCTTGCGGTGCACATACCTGCATATCTATGCCCTACACCCGTCATGGATCCATGGTGGGTGTGGAACCATGTGATACCATCATCATCTGCTTCCTGCTTCCTGCTTCCTAAAGACGGCGATGGCGACGGAATAGCGGTTGGGCTATAGCAGTCACAATGTAATGACACTATACTGAATATCGCATCCGTTCATTCCACAAGCGGGCGCTTCAGCACTGCTTGTGTCCAAGGCTGGCGGCCAGCGTTGGCTGGAGTCATCAACATCCTGCGACTGCCATCCATTGATCAACAAGCAGAGCGGGACAGGACACACACCTCCCAATTGCATAGCGCAGATCGGATGCCAAGGGCTGCAACAGTTCAAGTCGAGCCAACACAGTCAATCGAATGTCGGTCGCACTCACCAGCGCACTCCCAGTATACGATACTTCTTCTTCTATACATATCCGTGCGTACGACGTATACGGTACGCTCTTCGTTCGACTTAGCACTGCATCCGATGCAGTAGGGGCATCGACTTTTTGCTCATGAGAAGAGGAAACCGAGTCCGGTGAAGGCGGCTCGTCTTTCACGACAACACCGGTCCCTGACGGTTCCGTTGTCTTCGTAATGGCCTCGCGCTTGGCCGTTTCCCGTCTACCGTCTACCACAGAGGGCCACCATTAGAGTGACAGCTTCCGTCCGAATTCCAAGGTGGCCGATAGTTCCAGGGTCTTCCAAAGCATCTTGACCAGCCTCTTGCGTTCGGGTATATATGCACGTCGCACACCGCACAGAAAAGGGACGGACGCTTAGCTCGTTAGAATCCTGTTTTTTCTTCTTCTTCATCTTTCTTTTGGATGTGGGGCGGCGTCTTCTGCACTGGTGCGGTATCTTGGTAACTGGTCGGCCGGCGATGAAAGTGCGACATGAAGAACCGTGGACATGTTCATAAGAGAAGATACATCATGAAGAGAAGTCAGAGTACATCTGTAACCTCGGAAGCGGAGTCGAGTCTTAGACTGAGTGGCGCACGTGATAAGAAATTGAAAACGGGCTCCCCGACTGCGACACACGAATTATGCCGAGTGAGAAGACGATTGTAATCTGCAGGAGCCAAGACGAAGTAGAGAGAAGGAGACAGTGGAAAGACAGACCAAGCCGAAACCATCCTTGATACCGTCTCTACATGGTAATTGACACACCATTTTCCGGGGTAATTATTCGAAACGAGAAAGGAAAGCTTTACCGGATGGCGTGACAGTGGAGACGATGGACAAGTCCGACAGTCGGCCAAAACGACAGAATAGAAAAAAAAATATTCTCAACAGCATCTCCCCCCTTCTCTCTCGCCTCTCTTATGTATTTGCATTCTTCTCAAATTCAAACTCAGTTGAAAGTGAAGGATAGAAAAGGGGGAAAGCAATAAAAGACTTGCGTGGTAGAGAGAAAGCACTCCGGAGACACAATGGCCATCCGACACGGTGCCAGAGCGGCCATTAGTCGAACACCTTCATCGCGATACTTTAGCACGACTCGAGCTACTCAAGCCGACTTTACCCACGCCGTATGTGGTTTCTCTTTTCCATCATGTTTTCCAAGTAAAAGAGAGAGAGAGGGAGAGAGAGAAATGAATCATCAATGGAAAAAAAAAAGGGAAAGACATAAGAAGGAGAAAACAAGGGGGGGGGGGGGGGGAAGAACATCTACTGACAGGAAACGCAGGTAATCGGCGGAGGCGTAGTAGGTCTAGCGATAGCGCGGCAGCTCTCCCAGCGCACGGGCACATCGACGGTTCTCCTGGAGCGGCACAGCGCGGTGGGCATGGAGACGAGCTCGCGCAACAGCGAGGTGATCCACGCGGGCATCTACTACGGCAAAGGCAGCCTGAAGACAGACCTGTGCGTGCGGGGCAAGGACCTGCTGTATTCTCTCTGCGAGGCGCGGGGGGTCGGCCACGCCCGCGTGGGCAAGTGGATCGTCGCGCAGACGGACGCGCAGGCCGCGGCGCTGGAGCGCATCGAGCGACACTGCCGCGAGGACATCGGCGTCCCCGTGCGCTGGGTCGCGGCGGACGAGGTGCGGCGCGAGGGGGAGGGGGTGAGGGCCGACGCGGCCGTGCTGGACAGCCCGACCACCGGCATCGTCGACTCCCACGGCCTGATGGTCTGCCTCACCGGCCTGTTCGAGGACGCTGGCGGCGTCGTGGCCCTCAACTCGCCAGTGCGGGCCGTGTCACCCCTCCCGTCGGCCGCCTCACGCGGCCGCCACGGCTGGTCCATCCGCGTGGGGGGCGACGGCGACGGCGACGGTGATGAGGCCTCGGCCACCCCCCGGGGACGGGACGGCGACGACGAGAATCAGGTCGTCATAACCGCCGACACGGTCATCAACGCTGCCGGTCTGGGAGCCGTAGACGTCCACAACATGATGGTCGTCGACCCAGCCGACCGCCGCCGCCCGCTCAGCTATGCAAAGGGCACGTACTTCTCCTACGCCGCCTCCCAACCCCGCATCTCCAGGCTGATATACCCCGTCCCCGAGCCCGGCGCCGGCGGCCTGGGAACCCACCTCACCCTCGACCTCGCCGGCCGTCTGCGCTTCGGTCCGGATGTCGAGTGGGTCGACAGCCCGCACGACCTGGCCCCCAGCGCTGACCGCTTCGACCTCGCCGTTGCCGAGATCAAAAAGTACCTGCCCCAGGTTGACGTCTCCAGCCTGGCCCCTGACTATGCCGGTATCAGGCCCAAGCTGGCCAACCACGCCGCCGTGGGTGCCGACGCCTCTACCTTTCAAGACTTCATCATCCGCAATGAGCCCGGCTACCATGGCTGGGTTAACCTGTTAGGCATAGAGAGTCCCGGGCTTACTAGCTCTCTGGCCATTGGCGAAAAGGTTGAGGAGCTCATGTACGGGAGCGTCACGGCCGCGTGAGAAACCACGCACACATATAATATAGCATACCCTGTTCATTACTACCTGGCACTCGTAGCCTCATCTTTTTCTTCTGTCTTCCTCCTTGCGTTCTGTTTCTTGATCCTGCTTCAAGGGGATTTTCGTTTCCATCTGTCGTTCTTGCTTTGATTCCAAACTTTTCACCACTCATGTTTTTCTTCTTCTTATCTCTCTCCAGAGTACGGAAGATGGCATGCTTTTCTTTCCGCTGCACATAAAGAGATGGAATTCTGTGGTGCGCAGACTGTGCTATGAGGAGAGGCAACAAAAAAGTGACCGTTGAAATTTTTTTTGATATAAAAATACTGCCAAGGGGATAAAACATGATAGAAGGCAAGAAGTAAGATGCCTTATTGGGAAATAGAAGAAAGAAAACGCCTACGCCATCCCTTCGTTCAAGTCGTCGCCATACAAATTCGTACATGACTTCAACGAGGTTGGATACTCGGTGAAAGCTTCCTGCTCTGAACGTCAATGTGCAGTTCATATATGCCATTTTGCGCACCGACAAATCTACCAGAGTCAGTATTGTTCCTCTGTCCCACCAAGCAACATATCCTTTATCTTTTCAAACGATAGATAGGGGGTGGAGAATACTTACAGAGTACGCCCGTCATCGCTCCACGCCAGCCCAGCGGTATTATCCGGCGAGGGAGGCACCTCAAAAACACCGTGGTCTGGGGCCAGCGTGCCACGAATGGCGCTCTCCTCCCACCGGCTGACCATCTGGTTGATTCGGGGCACGGGAAGGAACCCATCGTCACTGTCCTCTTCCTCGTCATTGACGTTGTTGTTGGCATTGCCATTGTTGTTGTTGTTGACAGTGGGGCTGCTGCGCTCTCTTGCTTGCAGCACCTCGAGGAGGCTGAAGTACGACGGATCCTGCCGTTCTTGCTGGTTGCGCATGGCGGCCACTGTCTCTCCAAGCCTCTCCATCCACTGCCGGTCCTGTCCTCGAAATAGCTGAAGCTGCCGCCTCTCGTTTGCCTCACGCAAGAGTTGCATGTTGGTGCGGACGCGATCATGTTGCCGATCACGCTGGTCCCGGTAGTTACCTAGGAGGTCATCGACGGCACGGTTGTTACGTTCTTGCCCCCCTCGATCGCCGACGCCGCCTTCCAGCGCCCCGGTATAACCAAATGGGTAAGCGCTGCTCCATCGCGAAGAAGGTACCGCAGCAGACGTCTCGTCCTCCCCACGTGTTGCTCGTTCCCTCCGTAAGCGATCGCCACGGATGGCTTCCAGGACCATCATTTCATTGGTTGTGAGTGGGTGGTTAAGTGAGTTGAACCGATCCGCCACTGTCGCCCACCTTCGCACCTCGCTCGTGTTAGCATTGGTGTTGCTGCTACCTAGCTCCGACGATGGCAGGTTCGTCTCCCTCCGTTCTGTTTCCCTCCGCTCAGTCTCGCGTCGGTCCAACAGCCTAGGATCTACCGTGTTACGGTCAAGCACATCAATGTGCTCAAAGTCAGCCTCTGCGTTGATGTCGACAATTTGGCGCACGACGAAATTCGTCCTCAGATCGGCAAGACCGATATGTCCCCGGTCTTCTGTCCATGCGAGTATATCAAAAGGACCGGGGCAAAATGCCATGTCGCGGATTGCGCCTGGTCCACTCTCGGGTCTTGACGACGTAAACGTCGTGATGAGCGCGGCATCCGCCTGTTCCGTCAGAAGGCTTGCGTTGAAGATGGATACGGTACCATGCTGAGTCCCAATAGCCAGGTAAGCACCCGACTGCGAGAAACAGGCTGCGAAGCTGCCTCTGCTGTCCGATCGGTCGTCCTTCCTCTGGCTCTTCAGGAGGATTCTCTGTCGCTCCTTCCAACAGCCGTCACGCCCAGGACGCGTGCTAGATCCCGCACCATTCTGCACGCGCTCATGAACGTACAGGTAAGGGTCATCGAGGATTGCAATCAGGAGGCGTCCGTCTGGTGAGATCACGGCCCGGTTGACGAAATCCGGGTAGCTAATAACATCCAGGGACTCGGCACCCTCGTCGTCTTGAGAAGCATCGAGGTTGACCAGTGTGACTGTACGGTCGTTGTTGGCCAAGACCGCTACCGGAAACGGGTAGGCTCGGTCGCAAGCTACCATCTTAGTGGGAGGCATCCACAGCGTGATGCAGTTGACACGCTCCTTTGCCAGCTTGACGTTTTTGGCAATCATACTCTTAATGGGTCTCCGCACCCTTGCCAACAGTGAGAATATGGACGTGTCGCCACCCGGCGTGCTGATGACGGGCGCTCCGGCGTCAAAGTCGAGGTCGGGGTCATCGTTGGCCCCATCATCGTCTAGGCGAATAGCCGCAAACTCTCCATGCTCGCTACCGCAGCACAGCCAGCCATCCGCGGCAGCTAGGCATCGCGGAGCAAATGTGAGGAGCTTGACTGTCTCGCATTCGCGCGTCTGCGTATTCAGCCGTTGCACGTGATTGCTATTGCTCCCCCCGGGAAAGTACACAATGTGACGCTTCTCGGCACTAATCAAGGATCGCAGCTGCCAGTGTCTATAGAAAAAACGCAGGTTCGGAGGTCAGTGGTGTTTGCGGTAGTATAGTGGAGGTTACTAAAAAAGGATTGAGAGGGGCACGTACTGAGAGCGCACGGGGACACGGTAGTGCTTGCGCCCCTTCTTGGAGATGATTGTATCTGTGGGATAGTATCTGTAGAAGAAGAAAAAATCAGCCTCGTGGACCTGAAACGCTGCGCGGAAAATGCCCAGGCGGCGAGGGGCAAAGGGAGAGGAGGGGAGTTGACGGACAGGCCCTCGTCCCTCACAGCCATAATGGCATCGAGGTTGCCTCGGCGTTCCCAGTCGCAATCACAGCGGAGCAACGTCGAGAGAGGGGTACTACGACACCTGCCCGTGATAAGGCAACGTCGTTGGATGATCGATGGGCTTTGTGTGTATATGTGCGTATGCCCTAGTAGTTGTCGGGGGCACACTCGAGAGGGTGACCGATATGTAGGGACGCGGGTAGAGAGGGTGGAGAGAAACGGCGCCGAGATGGGGATCGACAACGGTTGGTGGCGACAAAAAATGCGACAAGGTGCGATAATGGCGAGGGACTCCGGTATGGTGCCAAGCCAGAAGACGGAGAGCACTATGAGCCTTTTTGGTGGTGTTGTGGCTGGAGGGGCGACGGGTGATGATGACGATGAAGAGGAGAATGTTGACTCGATGATGCTGGCTGGTAGGCGACTTACTGTTTCGTAACTGCCGTTTACCAGTTGCACTACCAAAGGACCATATATGTACTCGTACGAGTAATACCACGCTCCGTACTCCGTAATGCGCTTTGCTATTCGCCTTGCTTCCATGCACCGTCGGCAGTCTTTTGACGCCTACTAGGAGGCAGTGCTACCCGGTGGATACCTCAGCTGATGTGATTGACAAAATAATGTGAGACATCTTTCTAGCATATTCAACGTAGACTGAGGCACGCAATGCTCTTTTTTTTTGTCATGATGCTTCGGGCTCTGTATCTCTTGCACATTTAGCCACTGTGGCGCTATATTCTACGTGAAAGGCGTACATGTGCATGCCCTAGTGATGCGGTATTCCGGGCATGTACCCGTGTTCGAAGGCACATGTTAAACTGGACTTGATAAACTACATCTGCATACGGGATTTAACGTGGTCTATGGATGGCGATAGACGAGTATTATGGTCTACCCGATATAAAAAAAACAAAAAACACATCTACCCGACTCTTTTGTACAACAGCAATGTCTCAACCGGACAAAGCTCTCACCACGGGCAGTACCAAGTCAAACCATGGCAGGGTAAAATAAAATAACTCGTTAACCATACCCTGATATACCCAAACTGTTTCATCAGACTTCTCGATGAGACGTTGTTTGCATCCCTCATTTCAGCCTTGTCCATCTCACGTAGTTGGAACCGGGCAGCTGTCTTGGTATGGTGTCCAAGCGGTGGGCCAGCATATGTGAGCGGGCGGTACGAGTGGCTGGTATTGATTGGCGATTCTGACTGAGGCATACCTCATAATTTATCTCGCTGGCTCATTCAATCCGTTGCTTTGTACTGGTTGCGGTAGGCCTCGATGCGCTTGATATCCTCCTCCGAGGCAAACGACTTCATGCCACTGATAATGTCATCCAGAGTGAGGATGGAGAAGATGGGGATGCCGTACTCCTTTCGGAGCTCGCCGATGGCGCTGGGGCCGGGCTTGGAGTCGTCGCCGTCGGCGGCGGGCAGCTTCTCCATGCGGTCTAAGGCGACGACGATACCGGCGACATGTCCGCCCTCCTTGCGGATCTTCTCGATAGCCTCTCTCTTGGCGGTGCCGGCCGTGATGACGTCGTCAACGATGAGGATCTTCTTTCCTTCAAGAGGCGCGCCGACAATGTTGCCACCCTCGCCGTGGTCCTTGGCCTCCTTGCGGTCGAACGAGTAGGACACTGAGTCCAGGTTGGCGGGAGCCAGCTCACCCAGCTTGATGGCGATGCTAGCAGCGAGCGGGATGCCCTTGTAGGCCGGGCCAAAGATGATGTCGAACTCTAGACCTTGCTGGCTCTGCGCCTCGGCGATGGTGTTGGCGAACGCGGTAGCGATAGCGCCCGCCAGACGCGACGTGTGGAACAACCCGGCGTTGAAGAAGTACGGCGAGATCCTCTTGGACTTGAGCTCGAAGCTGCCAAACTTGAGCACGCCCCCCGAGGTAGAAGCCTCGAGGAACTTTTGCTTGTACTCTGGCAGCTGGGTCGTCATGGCTGTGGTGGTTCTATAAAAGAGAAGTCTTTGCCTGGAACGATCGAGTTGGTCAAATCGGGGCGTCGAAAGATTTTTTGAGAGGGTTGGTTGTATTGGAACAATATGGTTCTTGTCGTGGTTAATTGCAGAACAACTCCCCCACCCCACTCAACCCCTCCAAAAAAAAGTCTATCACGATAATGAGAGCACCCGAAAAGGACAGCGTCAAAAAGTTTTGCGTTGCGGGGCACGTATGGCTGCCAGTGCGCCGCGACCAACGCCGAGGATTATAGTGTGTGCAGCCGCCATCAAGAACTCGTAGTAACAATACCGTACGGAGTAATACTCCGTACATGTGAGTGGGCGCCCGGGAATACACTCTTGACGCTTTGTATGCTCATTTTGATTATGTAATACTATTTGTTCCCGAGGCGTTTGCCTATATTACGAGTATTGATATAAACGCTGTGGGTTTGCCTTTTACTAAGCCATCGGGACCCCCTTGCTGCCCTGGGCTGCGTGGACCAATATTGTTCCGACTCCAGTCGACTCAGGGGGTGGAGTCGAATACCATTAGTGGAGCCGGAGCTCTGATTGCCTCTTTCCTTCGGTTTCCATGGCGAGCTAAATTTTCTCGGGTAAAAGACTTCGCTTCCCTTTCCATTAATCTGGAGTTCTTTTCCTTCCATCATCACCCTTCTCTCTATCTCTTTTCACCCATCATCTTCCTTCTCCTCCCCCTCCTGGCCAACTTCTCTTCTTCTCTCCTTGTTTTTACTAGTGTGCCCTAATACCTTTCACAATGTTGGCTTCGCGCTTCTCCAGAGCTGTAAGTTTCTCAATCTCCTGTCGGAAGCAAACCCAAACGTGACGCGCTGTTTGCTGACACGTATCTCTTTGCAGCTTCCCCGAGCAACCCCCTTGGCCGCCGCCAGGGCGGGCATCTTTGCCAAGGCACCTCTCGCTTCCAAGTTCGCTCGCTATGAGTCGACGCAAGCTGGTGAGGGCGACAAGGTCCAGGGCACTGTCATCGGTATCGACCTGGGTACCACCAACTCGGCCGTCGCCCTGATGGAGGGCAAGGTCCCCAAGATCATTGAGAACTCGGAAGGTGCCCGTACCACTCCCTCAGTCGTCGGTTTCGCCGAGGACGGTGAGCGCCTGGTTGGTGTCGCTGCCAAGCGCCAGGCTGTCGTCAACCCCGAGAACACTCTCTTCGCCACCAAGCGCCTGATCGGCCGCAAGTTCACCGACGCCGAAGTCCAGCGTGACCTCAAGGAGGTCCCCTACAAGATCGTCCAGCACACAAACGGTGACGCTTGGGTGTCCGCCCGTGGCCAGAACTACTCTCCCTCGCAAATCGGTGGCTTCGTCCTCAACAAGATGAAGGAAACTGCTGAGCAGTACCTGTCTAAGAAGGTCCAGAACGCTGTCGTAACCGTCCCTGCCTACTTCAACGACTCTCAGCGTCAGTCCACCAAGGATGCTGGTCAGATTGCCGGTCTCAACGTCCTCCGTGTCGTCAACGAGCCCACCGCCGCTGCCCTCGCCTACGGTCTTGAGAAGGAGGCCGACCGTGTCGTCGCTGTCTATGATCTTGGTGGTGGTACCTTCGATATCTCCATCCTCGAGATCCAGAACGGTGTTTTCGAGGTCAAGGCTACCAACGGTGACACCCACCTTGGTGGTGAGGACTTCGACATCCACCTCGTCCGCCACATGGTTGAGGACTTCAAGAAGACTTCTGGTATTGAGCTGGCTGGTGACCGCATGGCTATCCAGCGTATCCGCGAGGCTGCTGAGAAGGCCAAGATTGAGCTGTCCTCTTCTCTCCAGACTGACATCAACCTGCCCTTTATCACTGCCGACGCCTCTGGCCCCAAGCACATCAACATGAAGCTCACCCGTGCTCAGCTTGAGAAGATGGTCGACCCTCTTATCACTCGCACCATTGAGCCTGTCCGCAAGGCCTTGAAGGATGCTGGCCTCCAGGCCAAGGATATTCAGGAGGTTATCCTTGTCGGTGGTATGACCCGTATGCCCAAGGTCGCCGAGTCCGTCAAGAGCATCTTCGGCCGTGACCCCGCCAAGTCTGTCAACCCCGATGAGGCTGTAGCCATTGGTGCCGCCATTCAAGGTGCCGTCCTCTCTGGCGAGGTCAAGGACCTCCTCCTACTCGATGTCACTCCCCTCTCCCTCGGTATCGAGACCCTTGGTGGTGTCTTCACCCGCCTGATCAACCGCAACACCACTATCCCCACCAAGAAGTCCCAGGTCTTCTCAACCGCTGCCGACTTCCAAACGGCTGTCGAGATCAAGGTCTACCAGGGTGAGCGTGAGCTTGTCAAGGACAACAAGATGCTCGGCAACTTCCAGCTTGTCGGTATCCCCCCTGCCCACCGTGGTGTCCCCCAGGTCGAGGTTACCTTCGACATTGACGCCGACTCCATTGTCCACGTCCACGCCAAGGACAAGTCTACCAACAAGGACCAGTCTATCACCATTGCCTCTGGCTCTGGTCTCTCGGACAATGAGATCCAGCAGATGGTTGAGGACTCTGAGAAGTATGCTGAGGCCGACAAGGAGCGCAAGGCTTCTATCGAGGCTGCCAACCGTGCTGACTCTGTCCTCAACGACACTGAGCGTGCCCTGAACGAGTATGCGGACAAGCTCGACAAGACTGAGGCCGACGGCATCAAGGAGAAGCTCACCAACCTCCGTGAGTTCGTCGCCAAGAGCCTGGCTGGCGAGGGCAGTGCCACTGCCGCTGAGATCAAGGAGAAGACCGACGAGCTCCAGATGGCCAGCCTGAACCTCTTCGACAAGATGCACAAGGCCCGCAACGAGGGCGAGCAGCAGTCGAGCCAGCAGTCCACTGAGGGCGAGAAGAAGGATGACTCGAAGCCTTAAATGCGCCATCTCGAGAAATCGTCTAGCGTCTTGAGAGACTCTCAAACAACTGTTTTGAGATGAGGGACCAGCATCTTTCTGAGATGACCCTTTCTCTCGTTGTATTTTATCTTTGTACCCATAAACTTCCACCGCAGCCCTTTGTTTTAACACCACCCCTTTTTTTCTTTTCACTCTTTGTTTTTAATACCATGGTGGGCGGAACTGGCGTTGGAGCAACGAAACTTCAAGGAATCTCGAAGAAATCTTGTCGATGTGTATCATGTTAATCGGGGCAAGTTTTGATGAACACGGGAGGAGGAGGGTGGCTCGTGATGTATAGGAGAAAAAGTGTAAAAGACTGATGTGTAAGTAAGAAGCCTTACCAGGTAGAAGCTACCTATCAATTTGATAGATGAGGATATTCACCTCCCCACTCTATTAAAAAAAGTTTTCCTTTGAAGAAAAAAGAAGTGAACCATTTGGTGATGTGATGATTACTTTTGTGTTCTGTCACTTGTGATAGTGCTCGCTACAGGTAGATTGTGCCAGAAATGGAGACAATATGTAAATATGCCTATCCCTTTCTATTTGTTGACGTTATTATATCCGTTCTCCGTCTGTTTTTTCTTTTTCCCATTCATCATCAATCTTTCTCTCATAGCGCCGTTCCTTTATTTTTTTGTATAGCGTATGACTTGATTTCCGTTTCATACACCCCATTCATGTCTCTGACTCTTTTCAAGATCTACCGAATCCAAACCAACCTTTCTTGGCAGGCTGCTGGGTCGTAGCACCTGTAGTGGCGGGAGTAGCGGCGGCTGAGGCAGCTCCAGGAGTCTTACCAGGATAATCGATGTAGTTCCACGCGACGTCGAGGAAGATGGGCTTGACAGGAGCGAGGTCCAGTCGGGGAGGGAGCTGCACAATCTTGGACAGGTGGACGGCTCCACCGGCGGGGTAGTCGTGCAGACGTTCGACGAGGGGTGGCGACAGCTTTGACAATGCTGAGGTATTGCTGGAGTCGATGCCCTTGCGGAGGTGATCGATGTGGGCTATGGCGCGATGGCGTTGGAGTTCCCCGGCTAGTAGGCGGGAGAGGAACTTCAGGTCGGCGTGGCCGACGTCGACGGATAGGGGGAGGGAGGTGGAGAACTCGTCAGTGATGGACTCTGGGAGGAGAGTGGCAGATTCCTTTGCTAGGGAAAGGGCGTGGTTGATTAGGGCGAGGGCGTTGGCCACGTTGCCGATTATCGAGTGGGAGCGGGCGATGGACAGGGCACTGCTTTTGGTCAGAATAAAAGAACGCAATATAAAGAAAACAAGAAAAGGGGGGGTGGGCATACGACAGAGACTCAAAGTACTTGATCGTGGCGTCAAGTTTGGCGGCTAGGTCCTCGTCGGCGGCAACACCGGGAAGATCCTTGATGGACTGTAGGTTCTGCAGGTTGCCGTTGTATAGGGCCACCTTCTCCTTAAGCTTGGCGAGTTTCCTTCTGGGAGGGGGCTCCTTGTTCTCTCGCTCTTCCTCTTCGGTCTCAGCAGCAACCCGTTTGTTGCGCCGCCTGCTGATGGAACCGTACTCCTCCACAGCACCGTCGCGGGTACCGGTGAGGACCCTGTTGCGGCCGATGCGCCAGATGATCATCTCGTAGTTGACAGCGGTGCGGGTGATTTGCAGGCTCTGCATACGGCTGTCGCCCTGGCCGACACCCTCTGCCCTGAGCTCGTCAATAGCCTGCTTAGTGGCATCGACTGCGTCCTGTGTCGAGGTGAGGACCTCTTCATAGGCGGCCGTGACATCGAAGCGGTTGTCTGCGCTGGCATTGCCCTGCAGTTTCTCCGACAGACGAATCTTGGCGGCCAGGACGGATCCCCATGCCTGGGCGATCTGGGCGTCCTCGATCTTGACCTCGCGCGATCGCCAGATGAGGGTGGGAGGCGTAGCTCTTCCTTCCGCCGACGGAACCGTCGCCGAAGTCTGGCCGTCCGGGCTCTTCAGAATGTCGGGGTCAACCTTGTTGATGTCGTCGACAAGCGCCGTGTCGGACTGGGGAAAGGCTTTGCGGGCAATGTCGCTGATGGGGACCGTACGGGGCGTGTTGAGGCGGTATGCGGCATAGCGGATGGACGGGTCGATGGTCTCGGACAGCAGGTCGTTGAAGACGTCGCCCTTGGCCGTACCGGCCAGCGCGGCGTAAATGATGCGGCAGGTAGAGTAGCTCCGCAGGCAAGACTCCCAGTTCTGCTTCTCGAACGAGGCAGCTCCGCGAATCATGGAGGCGTAAGCCGTGGCTTCGAGAAGGTCGGTAGTCGTCGTCGTACCCTCGCCCGCGTCGGAGAGGGTCTCGACAAGCTCGTCGGCCGTCTTAGCTGCCTTGACAAGGCGTGAGATGATGTGCGACCGTGTGCGACCGACAATGCCCTTCTGGTCGGAGGTGTGAGACGCTTTGACGCTCATAGCCTGCGCGAAAGCGCGCTCGCTCGTCAGGAGAGAAAGGTAGACATATCTATTGGGGAGAGAAGAGGTCAGCGGGCGTGGGTAGTGGTGGTGGTAGTGGATGGGGCTCTGGCGCATACTCTCGGTCTTTGGTTACATCATCAGCAGTAATCTCACGCTTGGCATTGAACTTGCCGCGGTTCTTGGTGGCGATGCCCAGCTTCCTGCGTGAGTTGACGAGACGCTTGGCCAGGCTGGCATGGTAAGTGGAATAATCGCCGTAGAGAAGGGCCTTGTCGCGGCCTTGTACGACGAACGAGGTGATGTCCATGGTGAGCGGAGAGGGTTGATGGACGAATAAGCGCTATTTTCCTCTTCTATTATGCCTGACTCAATATTGCGTCTGGCCACACAACGGTCGCGGGTTATGGCCAACCAGCGGTTCAGCTTTCTGAGATGGTAGGTGAATTTTGATATCAGACGTGGTTTCGCCCCAGAATCCGACAGAGCAGAATAGAGAGTGTGGGCGGGGCGATTTGGCTGTCCATTTTGGCGGGGCAGCAGAACAGATTATGTAATGGGAGCTAGGTCAGATTGAAACACCAGAGTTGCAGTGCAGTAATACTATCGTACCACAAGCTGTGTATGCAGACACCACTCTGTATTGCCCGTTGCACCCTCAGTTGTCAGTGGTACCAGCGGTAATAGTAGCAATTCGATATTACAGACATGTTCCAGATTACGACAAGAGTTGCGATGACAGGATTGGCTGATTTACTGGTATGCATACTAGTACCTGGGGGGGCTTGGATGTGATGGATGGGTTCCTCACATGACACATGAACGTTTGAGCTAGTAGTCACTTCATAAGCAAGTCACACAGCAGCGACGAGAGAAATTTTGTCTGATTATTATCAGGGATCGTATTGAACCGCATAGATAGCTATCGACAAAGGGTTTGACAGTGGAGAATCGGGAGCCACAGGTGACGTTGACGTTGAGCGTATGTGCTCACGTGGACATGGGGAGACGGTGGTAGAGACGTTTGCAGCAGTTTATTGTGGCAGAGAGGAGTTTCAACAACAGTGTCTGACAGGAAATTCACTTTCACTAATTCAGTACGAAAAACTCCGAAAAACTCGTACAGATTCATCGTTTCATTACATAGAGCAGACAGAAGACGGATGATTGCCTGTGTGTATGCATGTAGTTGCATGAGTAATTCAGAGTAGAGATGATGGCCATCGTAGATCTGTCGTTCTACAGCGGCCATCATCTACAGGCTACAGTGCACAGGCTGCAGTGGGGCGTCTTAGTGGGGTATAGCAGGGGATGAACGCCCTCTGGAATAGACCCCTCATAGGTTCCTCATAGGCTCTCCAGGCTCTCTGAACACTCTCCAGGCTCCCTTAGCTCTCTCTCTCTCTCTAGGCCATGCCACTCCCACTAGCCACTTTTCTGGCCGCCCTCCATCACAGCTAAACGCGCCTAAAACGCTGCTGAGCAGCTGACCTATTTTTCTTGGAGGGAGGGGCATCTAGCCATGGATGTACCTTCCGCCTTCTGATACCAAGAGTGCTCATCGCCATCAACTTCACATCTCCATTCACCTTCTCTTCTCTTCTCTTCCAACTCTTCTCTTTTCTCTCTCCTCTCCTCCCTTCTTCTCTCTCTTTCCCTCTATTTCAAGGCTCTCATATCTCTCCCGATTGTTTTCACTTCCCTCACCTGTCCGGTACGACATAATATTGCTGATCCTGCCCACTAACAACGACCTTCGGGAGTTTTGCTACCCATAACGCGCCATGCCATGATCTCGCTCGCTGTCTAACTCTCTGCTCAAAGACTTGTCCGACACTCTATCCTATCCCGTGTAGTGACTGGTGACTGCTTCTTTCTCCTTCTATCATCCCCTCTTCAGGAAGCACCGGTTTCCCCTCTACCTCTCTCTTCTATTCACGGCAACCAAACCACGCAGACACTAGGCGGCATCACACTACACCCAGCCCGAACCTGCCATGATTCTACAGAGCCTTTGGTCAGAACTCTAGCCCTTTCATCATTTCGTCTCATACGAAACGCGCACACAAACATACGCATATTTCTCTGTTGCGCTTGTAGATTTCTCTTTGTGCAACAGCAACATGGCTGCCAACGGTAAGCCCACGGCTCATCATGCTTCTCACCTCTCCCACATCTGCCTCAGCCCGCTCTCACTCTCCCGTATGACGATCTGACGGGCATGCCTCTTGCCAAACATCCATATATCTGCTTTTCTTATTTCATGGACACTAACAACCTCATTTAAGGCCATGGCTTACCTCGAAACAACGCTTCATCATGGAACCCTGCCGCTCTCCTCCAGCCAAACCACCACCAGTCTCCGGCTGCCATCTCCATCCCGTCTTCACCGTCTTCAACAACCCAGGCTCCGCCACCGACAGCTCAGTGTCAGCAGCAGTCCCAACCAATGGTGTTTCAGTTCCTAGACGGGAATGAAGCCTCTTCATCAACCGGTCCTCCCAGTGGTGCGTCTACCCCTGCAGTTTCCAGTGACGCTACCCCTAGTGGCGGCGTTCGCCCTGGGAATTGGGTTGAAAAGGTCCATAACGTCCAGGCCCGCTCCGAGGTACCGGAACCAAAGCGTCGCAGGGTGTATATAGACGATGGCCATCATCATAAAAAGATACCAGTCCGGGCCAACAGCGGAAGTGTCCTGGGCCAATATGTCTTGGAAACCCACCGGGAGACCTCAGGTTCAATGTCCCTGCCCGCCTCGCCCACGGTGGACTTGACGAGCGGTATGCGCTCTCTCCCTCGTTTCTCCGCTTAGTTCCGTATGGATACACACCAGAACTCTGGCTGATCTTTCCCTTAGGAAACGATGACGATGTTATTGCCATAGACGATCCCCTCGACGAGGAGGTGTGCTATGGCCTCCTCAAGACCCACCTGAACTGTACCAGAGTGCCCTCCGCCAAGCCGGGTTCCCAGAGCCTCTGGGGCGCAGGCTATTGGCCTGCTATCAAGGTGGTTCTTAGGAGGCAGGTTGACGACAAGACTAATAGGATTCCGGTATACGACCATACAAGGGAGATCATCGGTCAACTCCACGCTTCGAGTGCCGTTGCGCTGTCACCCCTCCTTGATTCGAGAATCAACATGAGGACTGAATGTCGCCTCCCTCCGCATCCTAAGAGGCCTGGCGAGGAACCTGGCCAGCCCACGTCGCAGTCATACCCTCTAGACATTACCGTCTACGGCCCCGTTCGATCTGCTAAGAACGTTGGCGGCTGGCTGGCCAAGCACAACCTCCGACTCATTTCTCCGACCTTGGTGCCAAAGGGTATCAAGGTCTTCAACCCGCACGTCAGCCAGTTTCAACCCCCACCGGCCAGGGTCTATCCTACACAATCCCACGGCAGTGCCGTGGTGTCATCATCCTCAATGAACAGAACCGTCGAGGAGATGAAGTCTGAGGTTATGGGTGTATTTGACTCGCTCGCCCGCAGCGAGGACCTGCCCGAAACTGAGCCCGATTCCCGCATCATCACTCCCCTTCTCAAGCACCAGAAGCAGGGCCTCTACTTTATGCAAGCTAGGGAAGAGTTACAGCGCGACCGTCCTGGACAGGTGGCCCTCACATCGTTTTGGAAGATTAAGATGACTCCTACGCACGAGAGAAGGTACTACAACGTCATCACGCAGCATGCTCAGAGGGAGCCGCCTCCCGAGACGCGCGGTGGGATCCTGGCCGACATGATGGGTCTGGGAAAGACACTGAGTATTCTTTCTCTCGTCGCCAGTTCTATAGAGGCCGCTCGCGTTTGGGAGGGCTCCGAGCCTTCTCAACCCACGGCCCCCGAGACTAAACCGACGCGTCAGGATGTCCTTTCCAGCCAAGCGACCTTGCATCTGACGCCCCTGATACGCAATTCCAGGGCGACTCTTCTTGTGTGTCCCCTGAGTACAGTGACCAACTGGGAGGAGCAGATTAAGCAGCACGTACAAGACAAGGCCCTCTCATATCACATCTATCACGGGTCGGGTCGGATCAAGGATCCGGCCAAGCTGGCCGAGTTTGATCTCGTCATTACTACATATGGATCCGTGTCCAATGAACTCAGCTCGCGTAGCAAGGGTAAGGAAGGGCTGTATCCCCTGGAACAACTAGGATGGTTCCGCATTGTGCTTGACGAGGCGCACATGATTCGTGAGCAGGCCACGCTGCAGTTCAAGTCCATTATCCGTCTCCAGGCGCAAAGGCGTTGGGCCGTGACAGGAACCCCTGTGCAGAATCGTCTGGAGGACTTGGCCTCACTCCTTGCATTCCTACGCCTACACCCCTTTGAGCACCGCAGCAAGTTCACGCGGTACATCGTCGAGCCATTCAAGGCGGCCGACACTGAAGTTGTGCCAAAGCTGCGCATCCTGGTCGATAGTATTACGCTACGACGTCTCAAAGACAAGATCGACCTACCGCCACGCGAAGATCTAGTTGTGAAGCTTGATTTCAACCCTGATGAGCGCGGCATCTATGACTTATTTGCCAAGAATGCCGAGGACAGGGTCAAGGTCCTGGCTGGATCCAACGACGGACAGGCCCTAGGTGGCAGCACGTACATTCACATTCTCAAGTCCATCCTAAGGCTTCGCCTGCTATGTGCCCATGGCAAGGATCTCCTCAACGATGAAGACCTAGCGTCCCTCCAGGGAATGTCGGCTGAAAACGCAATTGATATCGATGACGACGACGAGAGCGACAAGCCGGTCCTGTCAGACAAGAAGGCACATGAGATGTTTACGTTGATGCAGGAGACCAACAACGATGCCTGCATAGAGTGCAGTCGGAAGTTAGGATCCGGCGACACCAGCATGGAGCAGGAGACACAGGAGGATGTTCTTGGCTACATGACGCCCTGTTTCCACGTCATATGCTGCTCGTGCATTAACAACTACCGTTCGCGCGCCAAAGCCCTCCTCGACGACGGCCACTCGTACGGGCCCTGCCCTGTCTGCCGCACCCACGTGCGCTTCGAGTTTGTCCAGCTGTCTCGTCGAGATGTGGACGCTGAACATGACGGTCCACCCAAGCCGCACGGCAAAGTGCCCAAGAAGAAGTTTGATGGTTACTCGGGGCCTCACACCAAGACTCGGGCTCTGGTGCAGGATCTTCTCAAGGCCAAAGCAGAGAGTGAGGCTCAAGGGCTCGACCCGCCCATCAAGTCGGTTGTCTTCTCAGCGTGGACCTCTCATCTGGACCTCATTGAGATGGCACTCAAGCCCGCAGGCATCACGTTTACGAGGCTGGACGGCAGCATGTCGCGGACGGCACGAACGGCAGCTATGGACCGGTTCCGTGAAGATAGGGATATTCATGTGATTCTCGTCTCCATCATGGCGGGCGGTCTGGGCCTCAACCTCACGTCGGGAAGCCACGTGTACGTCATGGAGCCTCAGTACAACCCAGCCGCTGAAGCCCAGGCTATTGACCGCGTGCACCGCCTGGGCCAGAAGCGACCCGTCCGCACGGTGCGCTACATTATGCGTGGCAGCTTCGAGGAGAAGATGATTGAGCTGCAGGACAAGAAGAAGAAGCTGGCCAGTCTGAGCATGGACGGGCAGAGCAAGGCTCTCGACAAGGCCGAGGCGGCTAGAAACAAGCTGAGAGATTTGAGGAGCCTGTTCAAATAAAGTCGGCTGCTCTCCTCTTTCTTTTGCTCTTTTTTGTTTCAGTTTTTGTCCCATTTCATTTCTTGTTAGAGATAATGGCTTACAGGAGACGTACCATAGAGACTCTTTTCGTTTTACTCTATGCGCTTCAGCAGGTTAGGGCGTTGGTTGATGTTTTTTATATTGCCACAAGATCACACAATAGTGTTTGGGATCAAGGGGATAGGTATTTCACTTTTTTCTTCTTTCTATTCCTACTACCCATCACTTTTATACACTCGGTTTTTTTGCATTGATTGGGGGACAAAATAGGCGGGAAAAGATCTCAGGAAGAGCAAGGCAGTATCTCAGTTGTACCAGGGCGAAACGAAACATAATACATCTCTTTTTTGTTTGTTTTGTTTTTCACCTCAACAAGTTTGCAGTATATGGGGGGGGGGGGGGGGGGGGGGGGGGGGGTTGAAGGAGCAAATCTGGGTTTTCTTCTGTCTCATAACATCATGTTCTCCTTCCGTCTTGTATCTGTTTCTCTTCCCCTCTTTTTGTTGGTGTTGCTTGAAGCTTGAACACTAGGCTACGTCCTCATCATTCCTGAGCCCAGCATACTCGGTACCCTGATTAGCGGTGCTGAGTCTGGCGCATAGGCTGAGCAGGACGACAGTCTCGGTGGCGGCGTAGTGGTTGAGGGCGTCGAGGAGGATCTGCAGGTGTCTGCTGAAGTTTGCCTCCCACTTGCGTATGATTTCGAACAGGTTGTCGATGCGAGCCTCGGCCTCGGCCGGGCTGTCCCCCGCCGTCTTGCTGGAGGTGGCGGTAGCGGCGGTGGCGGCCTGGAAACGGTTCCACTGGTCTGTTGTCATGGTGGATGGTTTGTTGGAGGAGGATAAGTCGGGGTCGGATCTCTCGAGCTCGCGAGTCAGCCAGTTTGTATAAGCGGCGAAAATGGTGCATGTTTGCATCAGTTTGGAGTGGATCTGGTTTTTTTTGTCACGATTTTGTCAGATATATTAAAGAGAGTGAGCATGAGGGTGTGTGAGAAGAGTGAGTGAATACCCTGAGGAGTTTACTGTTGGTCAGCATACACTCCTTGAGACAGGTGTCGAGAAAGTCTACGTGGTCCTGCATGAGCTCGTCGACGGTGCGGGTGAAGCGGCTGCCGGTGGTACGACGGGGTCCGTGGTCGTGGTCGTCATCCCTGATGCTCAGACGCTCCATGAACTTGGACCAGTTGGGCTCGATGACCTCGGCGGTGCAGAAGTACAGCAGCTGCTGAACGAAGACGAGCATGCGGGCCCGGAGCGTCCACACCCTGCGCTTCCACATCTCGAGCCGGCGGTTGGAGCCCTTGTGGCCCCAGCTGATGCCGCGGGTCTGGGTCTGCCAGGTGTTGGCGAGCTGCGACTCGAGGTAGCGCAGGGAGAGGAGGTAGCGGAACAGGGCCTGGTAGCGCCAGACCGTCTTGCGGCTGATGACGAGCGACACGGGGAAGGGGACGGCGTAGTCAAGCTGGAGCGACGTGTAGCCCGTGGCGTTCTTGTCGCTGTCGGCCGACGACGACTGACCACCGCCCATTGACTGCTGCTGCTGCTGCTGCTGCTGCTGCTGCTGGAGGAGGGCCTCGCCCTGCTCGATGCCCGTGATGTTGACGACGCGTTGGAGAGACTTGGTCAGGGTGATCTCATTCATCTCCACCTTGACGTCTTCCTTGAAGGGGTCGAGGGAGACGATGCTGCCCGGCTGCCGGAGCACCAGGTCGAGCAGCGACTGGAGCTTGCCCGTGTTGACCTTGGCTATGGGCTTGCGCAGCTCCGACGCGCCCAGCTCGAGGAAGTACGAGAAGTAGTCGGACGGATCGAGGAAGAAATAGTGCTTGAGGGACCGGAGCCGGAGGGGCAGGTTGTGAGTCGAGATGAGCAGCCGCATAAGCGACTCGTTGGCGTGCGCGTAGGCGTTATTGACGTTCTCGAGGAAGCGCGCGTCATCAAACGACGTAGGCACGTCCTCGACCACCCTGCTCGCGTCCACGCCGCCGCACTCGCGCACCACGTTGAGGTACTTGCCCGCCAGGAGAACCTTGTCCTTGACGCTGGCCAGCTGCGGCGGCACGTCGTTCTCGCGGATCGTATACCGCCGCTCCCAGTACTCGTCCGTGTAGTCCTGCTCCAGGCGCTCGCGCCGGATGCTCTTCTGCTCCTTGATGAGGAACTCGGAGTGCGCGTCGTTGATGCCGCCGTGGTGCAGCCACTCGTTCAGCATGGCCATGTAGGGCTTGCTGGCGTCGCGCAGCAGCGTCGTCAGCAGCGCCCGCGCCGCCGGATCGCCCGACATTGCCTCGAGCCTGCGCGTCACCAGGCCGATGGTGGCGCCACCCTTGCATATCTTATTGCGAGCCATGTTTCCGGGCATGAGCTCGCCGCCGTCGCGGAGCGTCTCCAGGATGTTGTCGTAGTCGTCGGCGTCGTCGTCGTCGTCGTCATCCTCCTCGTCGTCCTCATCTAGCAGGGCGTTGCGCTTGAGCAGCTCGTGCGCCAGTGTGTATAGCTGCAGCATCATCTGCTGCGTCGACGTCGTCTGGATGTTGAGCACGTGCACCGTGAAGCTGTCGCTCGTCAGGAACTGCGTCTCCAGCTGCGCAATCAGCACTAGGTAGTCGTGCAGCATCCGCCGCACCGACGCGCACAGCGCATGGCTGACGGACCCGTACTGCTCCCTGCTCTGCACGTCGACAAACGCCTCGAGCGCAGTGTAGTACGTCGCCATCTTGAGCATCGACTGCGCCAAATCGTGGAGGCTCGGGTCCAGCCCCGGCATGATCTTGAACGACGGGCCCGTCAACCTGTCCCTCTCCTCGTCCGGGTTGTACCCCTTTTCGAACCGGATGTACTGGCCCTCGTACCCCATCAGCACGAAGAGCAGGTCCTCAACGATGACCGCCTCCTGAACTTCCAGGCTCAGCTCGCTCATCGGGGTGGGCTTGGCTGCCTGGGGCACCGTCGACGAGAGCGGAGGTATCGACACGCGCGACGCGAGGGGTGCCGTCGTGTGTGGCAGCAACGTGACTTCAGGGTTCCATTGTGCTGGCAGTCTGTGTCAATCTTTCATTCACCCGGATTTCTCCCCCCCCCCTTCTCTGCGTCCCCCATCGCCACGTACCTGGAGGCGTTTCAGCCCTAGGCTTCTGCTCTTGTGCCTGAGCCTTTTGCCTGGGCGCGTCTGCCGTCGCCGTGGGCGCCGTCGTTCTCCTCTCCGGCCGCCTCTGTTCCCTTTCCGGCGTGCCCGACCGTGGTACTAGTCGCTGTATGTGGGCCTCATACGTGCGCTCGGTGACCTTGCGTTCCTCGTGTCGCCGCTCCTCTACCTGCCTAGGGTTTCCCGAGGCCGATCGCTTGTGATGGACAGACGCACCTGCCCCCGTCGCCGAAGATCCCATCTGGGGCGACGTGGTAGGCTTCTTACTGTTACTGCTGGCCGCGGCATCGCTCCTGAAGCTGTTGGCGTATGCGTTGGCGGCGGAGCGACTCGATGCTCTCCCAGACATGTTGTTTGGCTGGTGGGGGCGCTGGTCCCCCGGCTAACAACATGTGGCGAAGCTCGGGGAAGCTGAGCTAGATCTGAGGTTGAGGTTGGCGTGTGTGAATCTCGGCTTGTTTGTTCTGTATTGTTTGTTTGCTGGAAGCGCTTTTGAATGACGTAATTTTCTCAGAATGGAAACTCTGTAAAAGTCATTGTATAATGCCCCTCGAAGACGTTTTGGGTATTTTTGTGAGAGAAGAATCGTGGGGTTTGAGACGCGCGCGTTGGATAGTGGTCGGAGGGGCGAGACGCGGCGTAGGTGCTTCACTACTCCCTCCGTACTGGCGTGTATAAGTAATAAATACTTTGCAGTCCATATTATTACCATTAATACGCCGTCACTATGTATCATTACAAGCGCTCATAGTGGTCCATACTGACACTATTTTACTGATCATTACAGAGTTCGAGACCTGTAAGTAGCAGTACTCAATGGCAGCATTACACTGTAGACAACATTGTTTAGTGGTAGTAATACGCTGTAGTGTCAGAGCTACCCGGAGGACAGTAAATGCGGTTCCGGCGGGACCCAAGGTGAAGCTCCAGGCGTTGGAGAGCCCGAACCAATGAGGTAGTAGCGGGGGGGGGGGGTGAGATGGAAGCTCTATTACCTGTGCCAATGTCTGCGTACCACGCTGCTTGCCTGGTCCCCCAGCTAGAGCCCATCTTCGTCATCGTCAACTTGAAGCAGCGACCGACTCGATTCCACGAACCGTGCACCATTCTCTTAGCCTCGTAGAGAGAAAGGGAAGAGAAAAGGGAGAAGTTTTCAATCCCAAACGAACTCCTCCTCCATCACAACACATCCACCCCCCAAGACACCGCCCAAGATGTTTATGGCAAGGTCAGAATACGGTCAGTCGAATTGCCCCCCCCCCCCCCCCCCCCCCCCCCCCACCTTTCGGTTGATGGTGGTGGTGATAAAACAGACTAACCCTCCCATCTTTTTTGGATACACACAGATCGGGGCATCAACACCTTCTCCCCGGAGGGACGCCTCTTCCAAGTCGAGTACTCCCTGGAGGCCATCAAGCTCGGCTCCACGGCCATCGGCGTGGCCACGTCGGAGGGTGTCATCCTAGGTGTCGAGAAGCGCGTGACCTCGACGCTGCTAGAGACGTCGTCGGTCGAGAAGATTGTCGAGATCGACCGCCACATCGGCTGCGCCATGTCAGGTCTGCAGGCCGACGCTCGCTCCATGGTCGAGCACGCCCGCGTCGAGTGCCAGTCCCACACCTTCAACTATAACGAGCCCCTCGGCGTCGAGAGCACTACCCAGGCCATCTGTGACCTGGCCCTGCGCTTTGGCGAGGGCGCAGACGGCGAGGAGACCATCATGTCCCGCCCCTTTGGCGTCGCCCTCCTCATCGCCGGCTACGACGAGAACGGCCCCCAACTGTTCCACGCCGAGCCCAGCGGTACCTTTTACCGCTATGATGCTAAGGCTATCGGTTCGGGGTCCGAGGGTGCCCAGGCTGAGCTGCAGAACGAATACCACAAGGTATATTGTTTTTGCCCTCCCTCTCCCACTTTGCTCCTTCTGAATACCAACTTTCTAACCCCCCAACAGTCCCTCACTCTCGAAGACGCCGAGACGTTAGTCCTCAAGACCCTCAAGCAGGTCATGGAGGAGAAACTCGACCACAAGAATGTCCAGCTTGCTAGTGTCACCAAGGACAAGGGCTTCAGGATATACTCGGACGAAGAGATGGCCAAGGTTGTTGACCGGCTGCCCGCCAACTGAGATTGTTGTACATGAGGGGACCAATGAAGAAACAAAACAAGGGGTAAAAGAGCCCTAGTCTCTTGTGCAAGAATCAAAAAGGAAATCAAAATTAATGATTAAAAAAATAATTAAATAAAGAAAATAACCATACAAAAGTAGCATCCTTATCCTTGCTCTCTCGTTCCAGACAAGTAGCAGCCTGTGATAGTAACTGTTGGAGACGGTAAAAAAAATTAATCAAGTAAAAAACATCTACTACCACCTCAAGGTAAAATTCCCCTGTGCATCGTCTCGCTGACATATTGGGTCATCATCATTGCTACCTTGCTAGCAAAAGCGGCAAGACCACTCACTCCTACTACTTCAACATCACTCTTCGCTCTGCCAGACACTTAATCCTTCCTCATACTGAACGCGTCATCTCTCAGTTCTAGCGCCGCCAGATCCTCCTCCACCCCCAGCAGTCCAAGCGCATAGTGCGCCCTGTCGGTCCTGGCCACAACGAACCTCGTCTCTGTCCGCTCCGCTTCGTGAATTCTCCTTTCTATACGTCGAGACGTATCCCATGCCATATCGTTGTCTGTGTCGAAGTAGACGGACCGGGCGTAGGGGGGACCACGACCCATCTGAGCCGTCTTGATCCACATGGACTCGCACCCTACTGCAATCTGCCGGGCCGTCTGCCACCCTGTCAAGCGAGTGACATCGTTCATCCACTGGATGATCCATCTCCTCTGCTCATCGTCTTGGTACTGCTCGACGCTGTTAGCACGAGAACGAGAGGCAAGGGGCGCGGTGTGACTCGGGTGAGGTTCACATACCTGAATGGCAGCTACAAATAAGCAAAAGGTGCTTTCGAGGAAAGCCGCAGCCAAGACTGTGCTGATGTCCTTCACATCCGAGCAATCGCCCGACAGCCCGACGGCAATGCGACCAATCATATTGGCATACTTGGCCGTCTGCCGTGCCGAAGCACCCGCTGCCTGTATGGCGGCCGGCGGCATGTCTGGATGGCTCCGCTGCAGGGAGATGAGGGCGGCATAGTAGTTCATCCAGATACCTGCGACCGAATAAGTCCGGTACTGGATGGTCTGACCAAACGGCCGGTCCCTGCGGTCGGTGAATTCGCGGGCCAGGGGCCTGAAGTCGGCGCCCAGGCGGCTCTCGAACGCCTCCAGACCATATCGGATGTCCTCCCACTCCTCCAGGGCCTTCCGGTAGCTCTCCGCAAAGTCCTCCTCTGTTTCCTCGGATCCCGGTGAGCCGTGTGTCGACGCCTGCTGCGGCGGACTGAATCCCATGGGGGGCGGCACTGTGGCTTTGGTGGGTAACATTCCAACGAATGGTGGGGGGGAGGCCCCGGGCGGCGGGGGAGGAGCTCCCTTGGCCTGGCGCGCCCTCTTTTTCCGTTCCATATCCTTGGAGTTGAAAGTTGCTGTCCTGGCGAGTAGGAGCATCAAGTGGTCGTACGTGCCATATCTATACGGGTCAATGCGGGGAAGCGAGGCTGGGAATTCAACCGACCTTTACTTACACGCAGTTCAGTCTCGACATGGGTGCCCGGGGGGGTATCTGTATCCAGTCTTCATACTCCATGCTATAATGTGCCGTGGTTAGCAAGCAACACTTCTTCCATGGTTTCGGTCTGAACTCACAATGGCTTCGCACCGCCAAGAATTGCTTGATAGGCGTCCAGCTTGCAGAACCACCAGACCAAGTCACGAAGGTTCTCAAATTCATCTGCCTCCTTCTCTGTTGTAGAGGCCCCGATGTTTCGAAGAATATCATCCTCACCGAGACCAAAGTCTTCAGCCACGACATGAAAGCCCGTAATGGTGCTCAGGAACTCAAAATCAAGCATGTTTGGGTCCTTGGGAAGAGGACCCCCAATAGCACCCATGCCCATATTTTTCATGATCTTCTGCTTGGACTTGAGGCTCTTGAAGGGGAGGAATTTCTTCGCCATGGCCCTCAGGGGCATCTCTGCAAAGAGTGTCCTAGCTCCGTACAGATGACTGCACCACTTGGTGTGGTCCGAGTTCCACAATTCGAAATAGGCCAGCAGCAGTGTTGCAGCAACGGTCGCCATCTCCAGCCTCTTAGTGTAGGACCCCACGTTCTTGGCTATACGCCTCAGTGCGATGTGGTAGTGCTTATGGGCGGCGGTGGGCGGTGTCTCCTGCATCTTGGACACTTGCAAGCTCGACAGAGCAAGCATGGCGTGGAGAAGTGCGGGATGCTGCAAGGACATCAGAGGCATTGTATCTACCCCCGAGTCTGTCAGTAAACCCGTTGAAGCAGTATCATCCTTCCCGTAATGCTTCAATGACTTACAGCCCCAGATATTTCGGCCTGCTACGGGCTCCGCATCGGCCAGATCCTTCTCTTCGGTACCAAAGTGGTGACGTTCATACAGGGACATTGTTGGACCGGTAACTCGGATGAAGTGCTCAAACAGCTTTCTCTTGACGTCATCCTTCAGCTCGGTCGCATGGGGCGTGGCCATATACTGTCCGAGAGTGTAGCGCTCGGTGTACGAGGCAAAGGATCGGGGATTCGAGTCCCAGGATCTCTGGAGCTCAGCCCCGGAAGCTATCGGCGCCACAACACCTGGATTGAAGCCTTGGTCATCCGATTCTGCTATAGAGCCGTCCTCATCACTGCTCGGTTGGTGTTCTTGGTAAGTTGCCGGTTCAGAAACCGGAGCGGGTATTCCGTGAGGGGCATCTTGGCTAGTGGCATCGAGGTGCGCGGCGGAACAGTAGGTAGGAGCAGGGTCTGTACAAGATAGGTTATTGGAGTAGGAGGGGTTTGCTGTTTGATGGAAAGCTGCGAGAGCAGCGCCTGAACCGGATGGGAATGGGTAGACGCCAGCATCGATGGGCAGTGACGTACTTGGACCTGCCACAGATGACGACAAGGACGATGGGTCGTGCTGGGAGCCATGTGGCAGATGGTGGTAGTCTGATTGAAACGGCGGCCTGGGGGCTATCATGGCGAGTTGTGGCTGAGGTCGCCCTGGATGTGGTGCCAGCTGACGCTGACCAGCATGCTGATGGTTGGGAGTATTGGCGTATGCATACTGGCCGTAAGCATCCGGGAAATGATGTGAGCCGGCATGCTCTTTGAAATCAACCCTCTGACTATAGCCTTCGCAGGCCCTCTTTGACTTGATGCAGTTATTGCAAGTGGGACGACCTTCGTCGCACTTGATCCTTCGTTTTCGGCAGGCTAAGGAGGCGGGGATAATGGGGTTAGCAATCCCGGCGACGAAGCTTGGGGAAGGGTGCCATGATGCTGGCCACCCAGCCAGGACATGGCTGGAAAGACTTCTGAAGACTCACTCAGGCAACCAGTCTTTGTTCTCTTCCGGTTGGCAGCGGACAACTTTGGCTTCTTCCCATTTGGATCCTTCTCGGCTCCCTCGGCCCCTGATCCGGCCGAAGGCCCGTCAGACCCTGGACGCAGAACCTGGTTCTCCATTAAGTCAATGGCTATGATGTACAATAAACCGTCTGTCCAAATGACAGATTCTGTTCAGTTCGAGACAAGCGGACGGTGTATTCAACAGATACGCTTATTATAATTTATAACAACAGTAGAGTTCCGCGAAGTGGAAATCAAGTGAAGATAGAAAATAAAGAAATAGCAGAGTAGGGCGGGCGGGAATCCCCGTCCTTTTCTCTTTTCCTCCAAGGATGGCGGGCGGGCCAAGTCTTATACAGACAAGAGAGGATCCACGAGGCTTGGGGAGAGACAGGCGGGGCAGTTTGCTGTGGCGACGGAAACTAACAGGCGTAACAGTATGAAGATACTTCGTAAAGGAGGGACGGATCAGGGCATCATTGTCGCGTCGTGTGACTTGAGCAAAGGGAATCAGGAGTAGAGAAGATGGGCGGCTATGCATGAAGGTGTCGAGTTGAGAGACACGGCATATTGGACTTGGCGAAGAGATGATCAACAGCAGTAGTATGCCGTACGACGTACTGCACAAGGACACGGAGTATCTGTATCTCTGCTGGTAGGAGTCTAAAAAAGAAGGACGGCATATGTCGTATTAGTGGTACCTATGATGATACCTAGCAGGATGCCTACTAACAGGATAAAGAGGATAATGGAGACTAACCTAAGCAGGCAGCGGCCGAAGAACCCGCTCTTGGAGATAAGTCGTGGAGACTCAAGAGTCAAGACTCACACTCAGCAGTGTCGCCACAAAAAGGTATGACAGGGGCCCTGGCGGTGTTTGGGAAAGTGGGGGCGAGCAACAAGATCTGAACGGTACGAGCAACAGGTTGGTATCAATATTGCTCCCTGATCGGTACTTGGTACTGGAGATGAAGATTGGGAATTCGATGGGATGCATAACATGATATGATATGCCGGGGTTATCCCAAGATGCAGTCTCGAGTGGACATATGGAAGGGTATATGGATGCCGGGTATTGAACTCGCGGTTTTTGTGGCGTTCGGTGGCGGAGGACGTTTCTATTTGCGATGATTCATGGCGTGAAGGTGGTCACTTTTTAGAGCATGTAGGGCTGGAAGAAGCGCCCCGAGAAAGAAGCAAGCGGATCAAGCCGTCGGACAAAGGCTGATGAGAGTCAATGGCCCCGAATGCGAATTCCGTACCAGAATTGTCCGCTCATGACGAATGCTAATACTCGCAGTGCTCGCAGTCGACCCTCACTCCGGAGTCCAGTAGTACTCGTACACTACTCCGTATACTGCCCGCGGACGGTAGTACGGAGCAGCAAGTACGACGTGATAGTATCTGCATCCTGACCGTCTGTTTGGCAGCGTATGCCACCGGTATGCGGAGTGAAGTGGAGGAGCGAGGTGGGGGGGGGGCTTGTAGAATGCAAAGTCAACAATAGGACGGTTCTGGATGCAAGGCTCTCCCAGCTCCTCTCACCAAAAGGAAACAAGGCACAAGGCAGATAAAGGGTTGTCGAAATCAAGAAGGAGAAGGTGGGCGATGCAAAAGGAAGAAAAATCTAGACCGGGTATTCGGCAGGTGCAGACTGCATTGCGCTTGCCGTTCGATTCGAAAAGGGAGACTGTATTGCTTGGTGATAGTATTTCCCGTATGTTCTGGTGAGTAACGCCTGCCTGTTGTGTATTCGTACTGGCACTTGCCTCGTCTACTACTACTGTAATCCGTACTTCTCCGTAATCTGCGATCTGTGATCTGTACAGATTACAGATTACGGGCACTGGATTATTCACTGCCAGTTTTCCGTAGTATTGTTATTATTATTGCTGTATTGGTCTGTAGCACTGCTAATACGCTAATACGGCGGGAGAGACTAGTAGCCTGTAGGTGGTCCGTGTCTGTCAGCGCCTGCCTCGGTGCACCGGCCTGTCTGAGGTCTCCACCTGTACAGGTATGTCGGCGTCTGCGTTCCCTTTCCCCTCTTCTTCCTTTCTCTCTGCTCAACAACCCCGAGAAGTATCAGTACCGATTGTTAGCAGTGACTCTACCTTGCCAATGCTACTACGGAGAGGAGAAATGCTACTGCTGCTAATACACCACCCTAGTGGCACGAGTGGCATCTTGGCATTCACTGGTAGTAATAATACTCTTGACAAGTTCTACTACAGTGTGCAGATTACTACTAACTACTACTGCTACTAGCACTCGTACTATCGTTTTCCTGCCGATACTCGTATCCCATGACCAACGACATCAAAGTCGTGGGGCCGTGGTATTTCTTGGCCGGTGCATGTAGTGAGTGTTATGTACTCGTACATTTCGTCCCCGCACCCCGTGCCCTGTCTACTTCAGTCTCCATCCAGAGCCAGAAACCTTGCTCCAACCTTGGCCTTGTCTCAGTCGGTATCACCTCTCTTCTCCTCCCTCTGTTCTCTCTTGCCGCTTCAAGATCGTGGCATATTGAACAGCTGTGATACTCCGTACTCGACTCAATATCCTTGAAGCCTCAGGCTCTGCCATCAGTCCAGGTCATCCCGGTCAGCTCTCGACTGAGAAAAAGCAGTAATATTGGCTCTTGTCCGCCACTCCACCTATCTCAGGGCATCGGTACACACCAGAGATGCTCACGTATTGCTTCGTTTCCTTGGCAATTGGGTGCCGCTCCCGGTCCCGGTCCCTCTTCCCTCTTGGCCACTATGGGCAATTACTGACCGCCGAAAATACCTGATGATGAGTCCTTCATCTTTGCTGCTGCATACATGCACGAGGACACATTCGTGTGCAATCAGCCATCCATCGGACCACGGGAGCTTAGCTCGGACTCGAATCATACGAAGATGAGCAATCGAGAGGTGTGCACCAGTCAATCAACTCATGCATGCAGAGAAAATGGTGGCGGCTAGCAAAGGCTTTTGTACGACGCAACCACTAGTCCAAACACCCCGTGTCCGTTGTCGCCGCAGTATACTGTGGCGGACTCACCATTTGCCTCCGTCTTGTCCTCCCTCGATAACTCTGCTCTGCGCACCTGTTCTATTCTATTCCGTACTTATTTCCTCGTTACATTTCCCATTATCGGGAAGTGGCATCCTTCTAGATGGTCTTTCCGTCCGCCATCGGTGTTACCGGGCGGACCATGACGGACCGTCGTCTCCTCGTGGATTCCGACGCCTCTCTCAGTGACGGAAAGCTGCTGATGTCCTATCCAGGTCGATGAGCCGGAGGTGGAGTTCCTGATGAATCTAGATGCTCTCGAAGTATTACCCCCCCCCCCCCCCCCCCCCCTCCATGCCGGCTCAAGTGCGGGTATCTATGCTTTGCACATAGTTTCATGGCTTCGCATGCCGGAATGGTGTGCAGATACGCCACATCGTTTCCGTCCAACAATGCATGTATTCACTGATTCCAGGTCCCCATTGCCATGAGGACACCCCATCCTTCAACAGCACATCGTCGCATAGCCAGTAAATATGAATATGTCACCTCTGGAGATGGCCTTGGCGTAATCGTCGACGTGAGGATAACTTCGCATCCTACTTAGAATAAAAGTGACGATGTACAATGCCTGACCAATTCCTGAGTGGTAGGCCGATCTATAATGTACCCGGTATTGAAATAGTGCAATGGTCCCCCACGATATCTCAATGGTATAAGAGCGATCATATCATCTAGGTTAGAAGTATAAGACTGGGTGGTTTGTGAGGATGAGAGTCCGGTACTGCCAGTATATCATGATGTGCTAATATTCTTCCTACTAGAAGACTGACACTAGGCATAACAAGAAATCATAACCACATTTTTTTTCTTCTTTTGTTATCTTGTCACTCTCCGTCATATGTATCTATTGTCATCCCCGTAATATTCCAAGCAAACATGTAATATTGTGCGAGAGTACGAGTACGGACGAGTAGAGCAATAATAATAATACACGGATTATTACCGTCTTTGGTCCCTGGAAAATACACGACCCAACTGATTGGGCCCCACGCCGGTTGACCCGCCAAAATTTCCAAAACGTCCTGATCCCTCCACCCAAAAACTACAGGAAAAAAAAAGAGAGAAAAAAAAAAGAAAAAAAAGATTTAGCAGACATTGAACTTTTCAACTATTGCCTACATTTCTCTTCTTCCTGCTCTCCCCCCCTCTCAACTCAACAGCCGATAGTTAAAGGCAAGAAAAAAAATGTTTGCCGTTCCAGGATGGTCCGTCTCGTCGGACGGATTGAAAGCAGAGACGATCCGGTCGAGCAACGGTGGCGGCGCATCAGAAGACTCTTCAGCTGCAGCGGCTGCAGCAGGACCGACGTCGAAGAATAACAAGTCCCGGAAGCGCAAGAGGGCGGCCGGTGCGGCGGCAGTAGAGGTCACGGCCGCCAACGTCGCCGACCTGTTTGAGTCTATCGTTGAAGGCAAGGCCAAGGCCAAGGGCGGCGATAATAAGGACAGCAGCAGCAGCAAGAAGAGGGGGAAGAACAAGAACAAGAACAGCGAGGATGACACGATAGTCAAGGAGGACCAGACAGTCAAGAAGCAGAAGAAGAATGATGGCGCTGCTGCGGACCCCCCGAGTAAGAAGGACGGCGGCGACAAGAAGAAGACGGAGAGGGACGATACCGATCAAGATACTGCCGCAGCCGCCGCACCCGGCAGCAAAGAAGACAAGAAGCAGAGGCAGAAGCAGAAGCAGAAGCAGCAGCAGCAAGATGACAAGACGGCGGACAAAAGCCCAGCGCCCGCGACGACGATCAAGCCCGAACAGCTCGTCCCCGCGCCGCCCAAGCTGACGCCCCTCCAAGCCTCGATGAGGCAGAAGCTCATATCCGCACGGTTCCGACACCTGAACGAGACGCTGTACACGCGGCCGTCGGAAGAAGCCTACGCTCTGTTCCAGGACTCCCCCGAGATGTTCGACGAATACCACGAGGGCTTCCGCCGACAGGTCAAGGCCTGGCCGGAGAACCCGGTCGACAGCTTCCTGGCCGACATCCGCAGGCGCGGCAAAGTCAGGGCCCACGGTCGCGGCGGCGGCAACGGCAAGGCCAACGGCAAGGACGGTCGGGGGGGCAGGCCGCAGCCGCAGCCCCTGCCCCGCACACAGGGGACGTGCACCATCGCCGACTTGGGCTGCGGCGACGCCCGGCTGGCCGAGTCCCTCGGGCGCGACGGCGGGAAGCTGGGCGTCCAGGTGCTCAGCTACGATCTCCAGAGCCCAAGCCCCCTCGTCACCAGGGCCGACATAGCCAACCTGCCCCTCGAGGACGGCAGCGTCAACGTCGCCGTCTTCTGCCTCGCCCTCATGGGCACCAACTGGGTCGACTTCGTCGAGGAGGCCTACCGCATCCTCCACTGGAAGGGCGAGCTGTGGGTGGCCGAGATCAAGAGCCGCTTCGCCGGCCCCGCCAGAGGCCGCGTCGAGCACAGCGTCGGCCACCGCACCAAGAACGGGAAGGGCCCCGCCGCTTCCAAGGCAAAGGGCAGGGGCGCCGCCGACGACGCCGACGACGCCGACGACGGTCAGGACCTCGCCGTCGAGGTTGACGGCGCCGACGATCGTCGCAGGGAGACGGACGTCTCGGCCTTCGTCGACGTCCTGCGTAGGAGGGGTTTCGTCCTCGACTCCGCCGGAGACCAGAACGACGCCGTCGACCTGAGCAACAGGATGTTTGTCAAGATGCACTTCGTCAAGGCGGCTGATCCTACAAAGGGCAAGGGCGTCAAGCCTCGCTCCGAGACGGCCGCCCGCGGACCCGCTGGCAATAAGGATGGTCGCACGCCCCGTCGTAACCTCGCCTTGGAGAATGATGACGATCCCAGTGTCAATGAGGCTTCTGTTCTTAAGCCTTGTGTCTACAAGATTCGGTAGTCTTCTCTCCATTTCACAAGCACACACATACACACATACGCACATACACACACATACGCACACACTCTCTCTCTCCCTTCTTTCTCTCTCACTCTCTCTCTCCATACAGTCGATGTGTGTAGGTGGTAGGAAACAAAAATGGAGTCTATTGATGCAAAATACTGTTCATATATACATCTTTCTCAAGAATATCCCAATGATGCTTGAAGAAGATTCGTATGGCCTCTAATTGTTTCCCCCTTGTTTCATAAAGATAAATCTGACTTCCTTGTATGTAGAACCCCCATTACATCTCTGTGCCAAAGCAGCGCTACCGTGACGCCCCTCACAAGGTATGGGAAAAAGAAGCATTCAACGTAAATTAACCAAAGAAAAGGATACTGGCAGCCATGTCGACATTGTCACCAGACGCCTGGAGAGCCTGTATGGCGCGAGCGCGGTCGGCACCCATGGATATGAGCGTCTCAATGTGCTGGGGTGAGACGCTGGCTTCTCCTGCCTGCTGGGTAGGAGGCGCAGCGGAGGCCGTTGTCGTCGACTGATGCGGTGCAGACTGCTGCTGCTGCTGCTGCTGCTGTTGTTGTTGTTGTTGTTGTTGTCGCTGTTGCTGTTGCGATGAGGCAGAGGGAGAAGTTGGAGGCATCACTACGCCGCTCTCCTGGCCGATGCGGGTTCCCGAAGGACCGGGGGCGGTGGGCTCATCGGCGGCTTGCTCCTCGACGCCTTTGGGAATGTCGGCCTCTCCGAGGAAGGGGATCTCCTCGGACTGAATGATCAGGCAGCCCTTTTCGAGATTGAGGGTGGACTGGTAGCGCTTGAGCATATCGAGACCTAGGAGGATATCGACCGTCTTTCCCTCCATAACAGTAAAGCTGCATGGGAGGAAGAGGTTGCCGATTCGGATCTGAGCTGCGTGGACGCGGCCAATGATCTTGGCGGTTCCCACGCCGTGGGCCACACCGGCGAAGCGTGTGTCGATCAGGCGGGATATGCCGCATTCCTCGGCACATTCGGGTGTCATGATGGTAGCCTGAGCACCCGAATCGACAAGGGCTTTGACCTTGTGGCCGTTGACCTCGACGTCGATATACAATAGGTGAACCCTTCCAAAGACTGGTGTGTCACGTCGAATCAGCCATGGTGTTTCAGAAAGAAGAAAGGATAGAGTAGGGGTTGGCTTAGGAAAGAGTTAGAAAATTACCTTCAGGGTTGTACTCCATGGCATTCTGTAGGTTCTCCATGACCCTCTCCTGGCGAATCATTTCCTCAATACGGCGCTGATTCTCGACATTGAACGGGTCGTCGTTGAGACGCTCGATCTCGCGCTGGCGCTCCAGGCGTTCACGCTGCTCCCTGTCGTTGCTATCGCGAAGGATCTGGGCAAAGCGAGCTGGATCATTGAGGGCGGCACCCAGCTCAGGGTTCTGCCTCTGGACCTGCTGTTGCATGGCCGGGTTACCCAGGACTTGGAGGCGGATGAGCTCCGGGTCGGGCTGGCCCTGGTTGGCGGCATTTCTCGGGGGAAGCTGAGGCTGCGACTGCTGGGGACGCGAGGAGGGCCGCTGACCGGCGGCGGCGGCGGCAGGCACACCGGTGCTCCCACGCATGTCCCTCACGTGGACGGCCAGCATCTCGCCGTCACCGATCTCGAGGTCATGCATGGTCTTGGAGTCGTCGGTGATGAGGCGACCGTTGTGGTATATGTGCTGAGAGGTGGGGTCGATGTTGCTCTCGGCCTGGATGGACTCGCGCAGGGTTGACAGTGGCATATCGGGGAAGATCTCGAGAGTCAAGAGGTTATCGTCCTCACCCTCGCGGGGGTTGTATATGTTGAGAGTGACGCGCATTGTGAAAGACGGAAGGAACTAGGACTGGAAGGTGGTTGATTGAATAGAGGTTTTTTGTCTTTGTATCCTCGTCGGCGACAGCAGCAGCAGCAGCAGCAGCAGCAGCAGCAGAAAGCTCAGATACCGACCAAAAGAAAAAGAAAAGAAAAGAAAAGAAAGAAACGACACGCCAAGAGCCGCAGTACCCCTCGTCTCTATCACAGACACACAGCTGCAAGGGCTCGGGTGAAATGAGTTAGAGAGAGTGACCACGAACAGGTTGGATATGCTCTGTGACTTGGCAGCGGTGAAGTAAATCAGGTATGTGGAGAGTGTGAAGGAACTGAAGAGGAAGAATAAGAGGCTGAAGAAGAGAAAAAAGAAAAAAGAAAAAGTGAGGACGAAACAGCAAGACTGATGATGACGAGTGTGCGGGTCCGGAACACAATAAAGGTACAACTAACTGTAAGCAGCGGTAAGTGGGAAAGTTGCTAGAAAGCGGTAGAATGTGGAGGGAGTTCTAACAGCACCTCCTCTATTAACAAGCCGGATTGCCAAGCAGTAATACATGTACTGCTATTGTGGTGATGCGACAGGCATCCGATGACGACGCAACTGATCGCCTCTACAGGAATATATATATCCAGAGTATACATACTTGTATTACTGAATATCTTCCAGCTTCCCTCGCAGTGCTAACCCGCGCCATCAGCGCTTGCGTCAGCCTGAGGCAGTGTGATCTACGAGTCCCTGGTGATGCTATTCTTGGTGTAACGATATCCCGATGACCCTGTCAGCTCCCTCTCGCTTCTCTCTCGAGTCTCCTCTCGGTATCTCTTTCGCTCTCCCACACTTCAAAAACTGATTATATAGAGTCAAGACCGAGGACGAAAATAGCTACTACGCCACAAGTCATCCAGGATATGATAGATAAATGATGACGAAAATACAATAGTACACGTATCCATGGTGAAGCTGAGTGTGGGGGGAAACCGAGTTTGGTTAGTTTCTTTTCTCTTGGTAGGTGGTCCCTGACTCCGGAAGACGCTAAGTAAGCATAATCGCCCCTCTTCCCATTCATGATTCACCCCACCACAGCACGTGACTTCCAGGATTCAAAAAGAAAAAAATTAAAAAAAAAATTGTTCGAGAGACTAGCAGCAATTGCAGAAAAAAAAATTGCTGACCGCCTTCCCTGTCGCTCTTGTATGCCACACCCCCACCAAAACTCATCATCAACACATACTTTGTTTTTTTTCCTTCTTTTGCCTTCATTCAACAAGTCGTCTTATCTTGGACCGGACAAAGTTGCCCATCATGAAGACGACCTGGAAGGACATCCCTCCGGTGCCTACTCAGCAGGAGTTTCTCGACATCGTGCTGAGCCGTACCCAGCGCAAGCTGCCCACACAGATTCGTGCTGGTTTCCAAATTAGCAGAATTCGAGGTCGATATCTTATTTTTTTTCTCCTTTCTTGTCTAAATTGAAGGCCAGTTACTAACTTCCCTTCCTCACAGCCTTCTATACTAGAAAGGTCAAGTTTACCCAAGAGACCTTCTCCGAGAAGTTTGGTGCCATCCTCGAAAGTTTCCCCCGTCTTCAGGACATCCATCCTTTTCACAAGGATCTTCTCAACACCCTCTACGATGCCGACCATTTCAAGATCGCCCTGGGCCAACGTGCGTTCCCTCTTGATACCCCATTCCTCTTCTCCTCTCTCTAGCTCACGAATTGTCCATGGCTAACACACCTCTCTTGCCCGATCAAACAGTGTCCACGGCCAAGAACCTGATCGAGACTATCTCCAGGGACTATGTGCGCCTGATAAAGTACGGCCAGTCGCTCTACCAGTGCAAGCAGCTCAAGAGGGCCGCCCTCGGTCGCATGGCCACCCTGCTTAAGCGCCTCAAGGACCCTCTCATGTACCTGGACCAGGTCCGCCTCCACCTGGGTCGTCTGCCTTCCATCGACCCCAACACGCGCACCCTGCTCATCTGCGGCTACCCCAACGTCGGCAAGTCGAGCTTCCTGCGCAGCGTGACGCGCGCCGACGTCGACGTCCAGCCCTACGCCTTCACCACCAAGAGCCTGTTCGTCGGTCACTTTGACTACAAGTACCTCCGTTTCCAAGCCATCGACACCCCCGGCATCCTGGACCACCCCCTCGAGGAGATGAACACCATCGAGATGCAGAGTATCACGGCCATTGCCCACCTGCGGTCCGCCATCCTGTACTTCATGGACCTGTCGGAGCAGTGCGGCTACACGGTGCGCGACCAGATCAAGCTGTTCCGCAGCATCAAGCCCCTCTTCTCCAACAAGCTCGTCTTCATCGTCATCAACAAGATTGATGTGACCCGCCCCGAGGAGTTGGACGAAGACCTCCAGCAGGACCTGCAGAGCCTTCTCAAGTCCAACGAGGTCGAGATGCTCCAGCTGTCGTGCAACACGCAGGAGGGCGTCCAAGAGGTCAAGAACGCCGCCTGCGAGCGTCTGATCGCCGACCGTGTCAACCAGAAGCTCAAGGCGGGCACCAACAACAGCGGCGCCCTTGGCGGACGCCTCGCCAGCGTCATGTCGCGCATCCACGTGGCCCAGCCCATGGGTGGTCAGACCCTGGAGACGCACATCCCCGAGGGCCTCAAGGGCCGCAAGAAGTACGACAAGGACGACCCGGAGCGCCGCCGCCTGGCCAGAGACGTGCAAGACGAGAACGGCGGCGCGGGCGTGTACAGTGTCGACATGCGCGAGGAGTGGGAGCTGGCCAACCCGGAGTGGAAGCACGACGCCGTGCCCGAGCTCCTGGACGGCAAGAACGTCTACGACTTCATCGACCCGGACATCGACGCCAAGCTGGCCGCCCTGGAGGAGGAGGAGGAGCGCCTCGAGAAGGAGGGCTACTACGATTCTGACTCTGACATCGACGACGAGGAGGCAGCCGAGATCCTCGAGAAGGCCGAGAAGATTGAGGAGCAGATCGCGCTGACGCGCAACGAGGCGCGCATGAAGAAGAGGCTCAAGAACCAGGCCATCATCCCACGCAAGATGCAGAGGAAGAACCTATCCGAGCTAGACGACGCCCTCGACCGCCGCGGCCTCGACACGACCGACATCATGGACCGCGCCCGAAGTAAGTCGCGCCCCCGCGGCCGCTCCCTGACCAGGAGCCGCGTCGGCACCGAGGACCCCGACGCCATGGACCTCGACGAGGCCGCCACCCCCCGAGAGCGCCTCCGCTCCAAGAGCCGCGCCGTCAGCCGCGCCCCCACCACCAGCCGTCGCGACGACGGTGTACAGGATGAGGAGTCCCGCACCAAGGCCGACCGCATCTTCAAGCTCCACCAGAAGAAGATGAACCGCATGGCTCGCCAGGGTGAAGCAGACAGGCATACTACTGCTGCAATTACCAAGCATCTGGTACTGTTTCTTCCCTTCCTTTCCTCTAACCCTCTATCCTTTGTCATCGCTAACACGCACATCTTATAGGTTGTCGGCAAGCGCGGTATGGGCAAGACAAACAGGCGATGAGTCCATCTCCATGTTCCTATTTTCCCACCTCAGATTTCTCCATATGCATCATCACTATCATTGATTTGTTTCTCTCCCTTTTTAAAAAAAAATTCCATTCCCGGTTGGCGTATATAATAAAGAAAAGGTGGCTTCCTTTTTTTTCTCCTTTCTTCTTCTTTGTTCTTTTTTGAACAACCAAAATTGTTTTTTTCCTCATCTCTTTGATCTAGGGGGGGTCTTTGGTCAGAATCTCTTCATGTGTCGTCGACTTATTTTTTTTTTCTTTCTTCTTCCCACCTACCTGCTCACCATCCCTTTTCTTACCCTCCACATCTGTCAAGAGGATTTCACAACTGGTTAACAGGGACTTGCAAGGGGATTGGACCACCCTTTGGGAACACACAGAGGGTGGTCCATCACCCCTGCGATGTAGTCAACCTGGATGAGGGGTGATGGGTCTCAAGTGTTCAAAAGCAAGGTTATCTAGATATATCGATGATTAATGACTCTTTTTTTTCTCTCATGTCAACTGATTCATGATTTCCTCTTCGTGATTATTTATATTATATATAATTCATTTTATATATTGTATACAAGACCAAATCTAGTTTTTTTTTTAAAAAAAGTCACTTGTAAAAGACATACAGAGCAACAATGTATAAATGTCCTACGTAGACGACAGGAGCAACTCGTGGTATGTGAAATAATGATGCTGTAGTCACCACCTTCTCTTTCGCTTTAATTGAAATTATGTCTTCCCATCTTTTTGTCTTCTTTACACTTTGTTTCAACCAATTAAAAAAAGAACAAAAAAACAATCACTCCAACAATCTTTGGCTAAATCACTCCTCGGTAACGGTGAGTCCCTCCCTGAGTCCCTCAACCTCGAGCTCCTTGCCCGTAGCACGCTGGTAAATGTCCTTGACGTCGTCCGTCGTCGTCTCAAAATGGCTGGTGGCGTCATAGCTCTTGGACAGGAAGACGTTGGTCTTGGAGCCAGAGTCGGTGGGGTCGTAGATGGGGATAGGGGGGCCCTGTGGTGTGTTCGTCTTAGTCTCAAGTCATACAGGAGAGAGCACAGAGAAAGGGGGTGGGAAGGAAAGGAAGGAAAGTGCATACCATGAACTGCTCCTCAATCTTGCCCAGACGCTCGAGACCAGGCTGGAGCTCGAGGTGGTGGTTGGCTGAAGTCTCGGCAATGGTGGACACAATGGCAACCCAGTATCCAGCGGGGCAAACGTTGTGAGCCGACGAGACGCAGGCAATGTAGATGTCTAGGACATGTCAGTACTAAAGTAAAAGTACACATTTGGGGGGGAGGGGGGGCGACTGGGGAAGGAGAAAAGGAAGAAAAAGAAAAAGAGGAGAGGAAGAGGAGAAGAAAACGAGAGAGAGAGAGAGAGAGAGAGAGGAGGGAAGGTGGCTCACCGTTCTTGCGGCCGACCTGGGACTGGGGAATAATGAGCTGGGCCGAGTCCGAGTCGCTGGTACCGGCGAGAGGATGCTTGAGAATGCAGATGGCACGGAGAACGTGGCCGGTGACCTTGGCGTGTCCGGGGAAGTACGAGGGGTCGGCAATGATCATGCCGGCCTTGGTCTCGAACTTCATCTCCTCGACGCCCGTCATGGTGGCCTTGATGCCCGTCACCTTCTCGCCGTCGTAGATGAACTCATCGACGTTGGTGTTGAGCATGTAGGTGCCGCCGTAGATGGCCGAGAGGCGGGCGAAGCCCTGGGGCAGCTCGCCGAGACCGTAGAGGGGGTAGATGTAAGGCGACTTTCCGTAGCGGGCGACCGAGTTTCCGTAGAGGCGGATGCGCTTGATGGCATCGGGGGCGCTGCCGGGAGCGTCAATGTAGTCGTCGGTCAGGTACAGGGCCATGGCGTGGCCGACAAAGTCTCTGGTGGTGGCTTCGAGGCCAAACTTGTCGTAGACGTCCTTCATGGTGCAGGTGTTGATGTCGAGACCTGGTAGTTATTTTTTAGGAAGCATCAGTACAACAACACCTTTGCTTTTTTTCCCTGGACGATGCGGAGGAAGAATACCCTTGTGCGAGGCCGAGTCATTGACGTCAAAGGTGCCAACCCACTCGATGAAGGCCTTCATGCGGCGCTTCTCAAAGATTCCCATGAGGGGCGACTTGAGGGCCTCGGCGGCATCCGAGGGCACCTTGGCGACGGTGGCCTTGGATCCGGAACCCTGCTGAACGTAGCTGCCGGCGACCTGCTTGAACTCGAGGTAACGGGTGACGTCGGTGGAGACGAGGATGTTGGTGAGCTCGCCCGACGACATGAGGAACTTGGGGACGAGGTCGATGCTCCAGTCGTTCAGACGGCCGTACTTCTTCCATGGCTCCTCGCCCTGTTCGTAGTTGCCATACTTCTTGAAGAGCTATGTGTGGTTGTGGTTAGGAACCGTGTTTTTCTCCCGCTCGTACATGCGCGGTGGTGTGTGTATGGTGCGGGGGATCACCATATCTTACCATCTCGAGGTTGACAGAAGCGGCCTCGCTAGACATCCACATACGTCAGCACATCAAGCTCCGGGGGGCGGGAGGAGGGGATGGATCTCTTTTTTTTTTGGAAAGAACATACCCGCCATAGTGGTCGTTGCGGTCAATGTGGAGGACCTTCTTGCCCTTGACACTGAGCACACTGTATGACAAGGAAACGGTCAGTCCCCCTTTCGAAAGTGGTCAGGAAACGGCACGGATGGAGCTTCTTACCCAGAGAGGATACACTCGGTCAAGCCTTGTCAAGGAATAAAGTCAGCATACATCTCTCCGTCTTTCTCTCGCTCCGCCACCGCCGCGCCATGGCCCCGCGTGGGGAACAGCTAGCGACGCGAAGTCGAGGTAGAGAGCTTCCCGAGAAGGAGGGGAGGGGGGGGGGGGGGGGAGAGAGTGCTATGCCCGAGGAGGGGAGGGGCGTGGGAACAAGACATACCGGTGCCAAGCACAACGACATCGTACTCGGGGGCAATCTCATCCATCTTGGGCGTTTGTATCTCGGTGTTGTCTTTTGGAAGGAAGTTGGTATGGGAAAGCAGGAGTGACGATTGATTTTATTATTGTTTTTCGCCCACACAAGAAGAGAAGAGAAGGAGAGAAATGCAGACTCTTGGTTGTTGGGCAGTTTTGGCGGTGGGAGGAGAGAAGGAGAGAAGAGGGAGACGAGGGGTTCCTCCACTCTGAGAACCCCGCCCCAAAGCTCTCTCTCCCCAATAACCCGGTACAGTACTGCTACTCGTACTACAGGTACGCAGCAACCGAAGAGAAACGGTCGGTGAGAGAGGCAATCAGATTCAAAGCAGCCTGAAATCCTTGCCAACGGGCCCCCCCCCCCCCCCCCTCCCCTCGAGGCCCGTAATGAGCTGCCAGACTAGCATGGATGCTACTTTGATATAATAATGAGCGAGACATTCCAACTTGGTAATGCATCCCTTCTTTGCAGTATATAGCATTAGTTTTTACTCGTATTACTACTGCTGATAATACTACATGTACGGATTACAGGTTATAGTCAGTACCGTGTCTCCTGCTCTGTACTCCGTACGTCTTGTCGATTAACAAGTACAGTATCCGTCCGGCACATGGATCCCGCTCCAACGTATGCGTATGTGACATCTAGACGTCACATCTCACCATACGTAATAGCCAAGACAACACCGACCACTCCTTGCTCTTGGTGACGTTTTCCCATCAACACTCTATTCATGCCTCAACACCGGACCTACCATCCAGCATCAATGCGAATTTAATCTCATATAATTAAGAGTCAACATGGTGGACAGGGATATACGCCACGTTCATTTAATGAATCACCTGCCATCACTTGAAATGATGCACCGTAGTATTACAGGTAGAGTCTAACAGTAATACTCGACTCCGCAGTACCTACGAAGTATGAGAAATATGGTAATAATACACGAGTTTCCTTCTTCCGATTCCAACAGTTCATCGTACACGATATACACATGCATACATGGCCCAACAGAATCTATACGGCCGCAAGTGTTTTTTTCTTTTTGGCTTCCCTTTCCATATGCCAAGAAATGCCACATGCTCGTTCCCTCTGGTTTTTTTTTTTTCCGGGGGGGGATATCACACACACACGCGCGCGCATAAGCATGCTGGTCACGTCCTCCGCCGTACTCACGAGATCTGCTTCTCAGGCTTGGCGTTTCCTGCTTCGGAAACCTCCTTCTGGGAAGCAGCCTCATCTGAGCTCTCTATAGCCTCGATCTCGTCCTCGTACGCCGAAGGGATGTATGTCTCTCCTTCACCACCCTCGAAGTTGATCTCGGGGTCGTTGCGAGCAACGTCGATGGCATCCTCCCACGTGTAGTATCGTTCGGTGAGGGTGTGCTTTATAGCACCCATAGTCTTTCGGACCTAAAAGTTGTATTGTGTCAGTTCCATCCATGTTCCTCATATATATATATATATATATATATGTGTGTGTGTGTGTACATGGTATGTATGGGAACCTCGTAGGCTGACTATCTCTCAAACATAGAGTTGAGATACGTGGAAGAAGGGGGGGGGGAGGGGCTGGAGAGGGGGGGAAGCATACCTCATCGTCTCGAACCTCAAACTCCCTCTTTCCAAAGCCGAGCTCGCTCCTCTCCAGCTCGGCCAGAGACGTGGAGATCATGTTGCGTTCACGACAGCAAGTCCACCAGAGGGCATGCAGGTCCTCCCACGACTTCTTGCGCAGCTCCTCCACGCTCCATGCGCGGCCGTGCTTCTCGGCCTCCTCGGGCGTGTAGAGCAGCTCGCCGGGCTTGGGGAAGAAGCCCCAGAGGCCGTGGCCCTCATCCACCTTGATCTGGGGCTTGAAGTCGCGCGGGCGGGGCAGGGGCATGCCCGACATGGAGATGTGTTCGCGGACTCCGGAGCGGTAGATGCTGCTGACGCCCCGGTTGGGGTTCATGTCGCGGTTGGGCGGCTTGACCTTGCGCTTGCGCTTGCACAGAGGCGACGTGGTTGAGAAGTAGGCAACGGCCGCGGCGCCGCCTGTCCGACGCACGGACATTGATGTCGACGAGGACGTGACTATGCGACCGCATAGCGGCCGCATGGCAACGGGGCTCGCCATTGTGGAAATGGTGGCACCCGAAGGAGGAGGACTGGGGATGGCGGAGAGGATATGGGCGAGCTTCGGTCGCGTCTTGTTCGATTCGATGCTTCAACCTTTCTCTCCTGGTTCTCTCCCTGCCAAAGAAAAGCTACGCTTCTGGACTGCAGTCACCTCGTTTGTGTTGTTGTTTTTTTTGTACCAATCACTTGTCAGGAGATTCGGCCTCCGGCTATACGAGATTCCGTCCTCGACTTTCCTGTCAGCCAGTCACATGACTTGGTTCAGAGGTCAGGTAGCCTACGATGGTGATTTCGCGACAGGATGCCAGATCAAAAAACATGTTGTGTATAACAGGCATATCTAAGCAGTCAATATACATTCGATAAAAACTGGCAGAGGGAAGAAAAGGTGTAAGAAGACATCTTGTCGTACGTATCCCGAATGATAATAGAGTCCAGTGCAGATCAACCATGGCCCAGCACCATCGTACAAAGCAAATACCCTACATCAAATATTTGGAAGGAATTCTCTGGAGAAGAAGAAAAAAACAAAAAGTCTACATGCGTAAATTCGAATGCTTTGCAGAGCTCTACTCGATCATTACTCAATTATTACGATTATAGAATTGCCCAGCTGCTGATATCGCAAGCCATCTCGTCTGAACTGTCCTAGTGCATTCCGCCGGACCAGCCGTGCACTACCTGTGTTCAAATGTATGGGTGCATGCGAAGCTCGCTGTGCCGCCGATTGTCTCCTCTCAAGCCAGGATGGCGATGTCTACATGTCGTTGTATTACTACTACTATCCACTACTTACTACCCGTACTAGTATGAAAGCACCACCGGCAACTATTACTACATCTCGCATCCGACATATACAGACACACGTCACGAAGGGCGACCTCGCAAGCTCCCGGACCGACATTGCCTGAAGCGTTCTGCAATGGCGCCTGATGAGGGTTGGCTGTACTCTTACGCGCCCTCTGAACATTATGCTCCCCCCCCCCCCCCCCCCTCCTCCATAATTACGAGTACACGGAACGGACTATGTCCCCGGAGGAGGGTGGCCTGACATACACATCACATGTCCTACGCCGTATTTCCCCAAGAGAGGGAAACAAATATTCGGGGGAAATGGTCCTGCGCACACCACCACATCGTGTGCCGTGCTGCATCATCAGTCACCGATATTAATCATGATGATGGTGTTAACCAAAACGAAGAAAAAAAAGATGGTGGACGCGGCACACCTAAAAAAAAAAAAAAAAGATGGGACATTGATCTCAAGTGTTCGGTCCACGCCGAGAGACATGGGACTCCCGCAACTAAACTTGTGGACTCGACCTTTTTACCTTTATTTTCCCGGTATATTATCACCCGCGTTTGCGGAGCCCTTTCCACGCCCTATTTGGGGGCCGAGGGGAGACAAGAGGAGAAACAAGGATATTATGTCGGGAGTTATGGATTACCTTGCTCTCCGTAAATACGGAGAAGAGCGCATGATCAGAGAGAGAGATGAGGTAGGTATTGATGTCGCGCGGGCGGGCGGGG